TAAGTCAGCTAATACTCTATCTGTATACCAAATTTCATCAAAATCCGTTCAGTAGTTTCGGCGTGATTGACCGACAAACATCCAAACAAAGAAACTTTCACATTTATAATATTAATAGGATATATAGGTATTTTATTCGGTCACCATTTCTGAGATCCCGAATTCGAATCTTAATATAGAGAAACCTAATGAAAAATGCTTAAAAAATCCACCAGCCCCAAATACCTCGAGATGGGACTCGATACCAGGACCTTTCGCTGTTTCGCGAAATTCGCCCGGACAGCCCATGTGACGGTTACACCAGCACGCGTAGCATGACAAACTCGAGAAACGCTTTGTCTACACTCAAATTTCACTTTTCTCGGGTGCGCCCATACGATATCTCACTCTCGACCCGAGAAAAATGACATTTGGGTGCACACAAAACGTTCTCGTCCTTCTCATACTACGCGTGCTGATAAAGATACCGATAAGGACAATATAATTATTATAAATTTAAGTTACATAAGTTAGCGTGTGGGTTCGTATCACCAATGTCTGATCACGTAGCAGGCACCTCAAAAAATCTATAACACCATACATAGAGTATCGTAGAGCAGCAAATAAATAAGTAAAGTAAAAGTCAATCAGTAGTGGGTAAAGTAAAAGATAATTTAAATAACGATAATATGACGTGTCGCTACGATGGTATATAATATGGCGAATTCCACTTGGATAGCTAAAGGTCGTGGGTTCGAGTCCCACTTCAGAGTACCTGAGACTGGTAGATTTTTAAAGGATTTTTCATTAAGAATATTTACCAGTATAATATTGGGAATACAAAATTGATAAAATGTTATAAAAAGAGGAAGTATTTTCATTTCGTGAGCATTTTCTTAGTTTTTTATTTATATTATTTATCGATTTAGTTATCAATAAGTAAATAAATTTATTTATAAATTTTATAAATAAGTACGTCTTGTAAGTTCTATTGTTTCAAAAAAATAAATGGAAATAGTAACTTAACAATAAAATGAAGTAATTAAGATATTATTTCTGTTTTAAATTCTAACCGTAAGATAAACATGGTTATTATAGCATTAATTTTTATCAACGATATAGGTATACTCACTGGTACTGTGAACATGTACTGCATATCGCAGCAATTCACCGTTATCAAACAAATAACATGATTTTCAAGCCCTTATAGCAACCTACTATCTATATCACCTGATACAACAATATTCTTTAAAAAAATCATAACCAACATATTATAACACGGTATAGTAATAGAAGGCTCAAATATCTACCTACAATATTAATTTTCTATCAAATATATTCAGCTACTAATTACATATTATCAGAATAACGATGTTTAATCGATTAAGCATGATACTGTTCATTAAAGCCACCATAATTTACTTTTACACACATCAGTTGATAAGAGTATCAATATTATGGTTAGTACTCGATTAAAACTGAATCAGTGGGTAAAAATTATCATCAGTGCATAAAATTTCCTAATTAAATATATAATGAATTTGAATATTTTACTGATATTTTAATAATTATAACATTTTAATTTTTAATTAATAATATTGAAATTATAATATTTAAATATGAACAAACTGTTGGTATATTTACAAGAAACGATGATTAATCTACACAATTAATAAAAACATTTAAGTAAGTATATTGTCGATGTTAGCTAGTTTAAAAAAGTAAGAAATTTTGGGCACTGAATACTAATTTTTCCTGTGTAACCTTTAAACAAGGTATTTGCTTACGAAAAAATACTCAAAATTTGCCCTGGCGTTTCGTGCTAACATCAATATTGGTTTCGACCGCTCCACATCAGGCGCTTGCTCTACAATAGAGAAACAAACCTCTTTCTCTTTCAGTCTTCAGTACCTTCTAAATATAACATTCAAATATGTATCTTTAACTACTTTTGCCAAGCACACAACATGAAATTAACAGTAACTTTTAATTAAAACGACTAAATTTCCTACCTTTTTCTACCAACGAACTCGCCATATCTATGTCCTCATCTTTTAGGTACTGAAATGCTACAAGATTGACAGTTGCATTTGCACTTCTCTCACTAGTTATCTAATTTACGCCTCTGGCCTATTATTTTTCTCCATTTCATAATCCTCAATGCACTACAGAATAAGGTTCCGTTAGGCAAGTGTAAAACTAAAGCATAGTACTCGTAAAATAAGTGCTTAAAATATCGCGTAAAATTGTAAAAAAAATAAACAATTTAGGGTCCTATTTGTTCATAACTGTCTCTAGTATGACCAAGTACTGTACTGCATGAAACTATCAAATACTAGGTGGATTAGGTATTTGGATCAAATATTAAATAAAACTGCGAATAGGTGTATCTCATAGAACACGGAAAGTGTATCTAGTACAACCCAACCATAAACAAGTAAACAGAGAAAACAAACAAAGTTTTTTTGCATTTTTTTGCAATGATTGACGGGAAAGTATTATTATTTTGCAAAATATGTCTCAAAAGGTGTTTCAAAAAATAAAAAATACTTGTTCGAAAAAGGTATTTAAATGAAAATATGTAGGTATTTTATACACAAGTATTTCAAAATTCAAATAAGTCACATCTCTGATGCTAACATAAAATGATAACAACATGACTATGTTAAACGCATAGAACCTTCCGTCTAAGTAAATAGCGTTCAAGCTCCGTAACTTTCATCATGGACAGCTCTACAAAAAAATGTTGATCTCGACGTAAATGGAGCGAGAAGTTTCTTTTCTCTCACAAAAGAAAATGAATCCAAACCGTTGAGTCGAAGATATAATCGAGAAATCACAAAGTGTTGAGAACGAACTTACAGATTGTATGAGTATATAACGGGCGAGACTTGTCATCGTGACCGTGATGAAGCACGAAATTAATTGAAACCTCCTTAAAACATGTTACATACGAAAGACTCAACAAACAGTTTTGTTTAATACGACAAAAAAAAGCCAAATTGTACAGAAAATCAAGCATGTATAACTAATAGTGACGATTAGTAGTAGAGTCAATGATGATCTATCAAAATGTAGTGTAACACACATTATAATGATAAAGCGAATATTTCCAGGTAAATCTTTCGATACTACACACATTAATGTGTACCTGATAGTTTCGTTATTGTAATTTTTAAGTACAGTTAACAGCACGTCAAGTTCATACATATTTTTTTAAACTAGATCCGACTTCAAACTTTAAAGGTAAATAAATAGTAGTTATCTCAATACTGACTTATTCAAGAAAATGCTATTGAAGTCGGGCGGAGGTCTTCTGTAAGTTTGTTAATTAAATGATAGGCACCCGACTCCAATAGTATTGTATTGAAGAAGTTGCTTTTAAGATTAGTATTAATTAAAACTTTTTGAAAGTTTGAACTCGGTTCTATTTTTTACAGTTTTTATTTCATATAATAGGTAACACCAAAATATATTAAATATCTATATAAATAAAAATAATTAACATAATGAAAGCCTTAGAAAAGAAGATTTTGTTCACTTGCTGGACATAATAATGTTGTGTTATGTCTACACATAGCAGTATAGAAGATATTCGCATATTTTCGTATTTTTTTATATTAACACAAATTGAAATTCAACTCAGATAAAAAAAGTTTGGATTGATCTCTCTGTACTCTTTATGAAAATGATATTTTTAGTAGTACGACTGCGAAACGTAGGTATGTTGAAGACCGAAGACAGTAAATTACCGGAGATAAGCGATTACCGGTCTAAGTACCATCTTCCTTAGACCACTTCACATCACAAAACGTGCCACAGATGTGATATATCGCTTATAAAATGATACCAAATCAATCTATCGACTTCTTTTGGAATCTATAAAATCATTATTATGTTTTTATTACCTTCTTCAAGTTAAAGCCGAAGTTTTTCAAACATAATACTTGACTATTTCAAATTGTTAGCATATTTTGTTTTATTTTATGCTGTATGGGGAGCTTACTGTATTACTCATAATATATGTAGTTACATCTATAACACTTCTAAAGTATTATAATTATATACATAGGTATGAGTAAATAGTCTGAAGTCGAAATAAGACTTTAGAGTTATCTATACATACATTTTTAAAAAATATTTCATGGTTTTCCGTGATATCTATTTTTTTATGTAACACAAAAAATATTAAAAATCTTTTTTCTTAAATATGTCATATAGCTGTTTTGGCGCTAATTTGCCCAAGTAAAATATACTGTATATACACTGCGTATAATGTAGAGTCATTAGGTGTTTTTTTTAAATCAGTCCAATAATTCCGGAGCCTATTCAATGCAAGCAAGCAAAGTCACAAAATTGTCCTGTTTATAATATTAGTACAGATAATTTTATAATGGACATATAAATAAAATACTGACCCGGCAACGTGACGAGTAGGAACAGAAGATGACAAGTTACGCGGCAAAACTGGTTTATATTAATAACGATTATAATAAAAATACTGCATAATTGTAAAAGGTTAGAAAGTTACTCGCATATTTGTCAATTTGAATTTGAGGGAATTGCCGATTTTGTTTTTTTATTTCATAAAGAATTTTGACTATGATAAAACCCTTATAATAGGATACTTATATTTTTCGTTTTTTTTTCTATTATTTATTTGTATTTTATTTTTGATTTTGGATGCTGGCGCCCTCTTAATATATGCATGTGCAATATAAAAAAACTATTTCTTAAAACGATTTTGAAACTTATGTTAAAAAATTCAACCCCAAAGAGCTCAAATAGCGGTTTGAAAACAATTTCTAGTATATTTTCCATATTCAAAAAGCTGATAGTGTTTTTATTGAGAACATACCTGTTTGAATACTTTAATATTTGTTTACTATCTACGGATATATCACAATAACTAAGCTAATTTTAATTGTGAAATCACAAAAATAGTTACCTACAATTAGAGCTGATGAGTTTCTTGCTGGTCCTTCTTACCAGCCAAAACGTATGGTAGGGAAAAATGTTGAACTATTCAATAGCGCTTGAAACAAAGTTGCATTTTCAGGTTGAACATACAAGATGGCGATGAAGGAATGGCTGCAGTGGTTGCCGCCGCCGCGGTCGCTGCTGGCACTTCTGCTGTCGGTGGCGGGCTTCAGCGGACGACTGTTTGCTTCACACTTCACACACTCACCGACATTACTCGTCGACACATGTCACTCGCTCTGTAGACTTGTAGGACTTATTACAACCGTTCTAGCATATAAGGTGATCGTAGTTTTATATTATTATTTCTTTACAATAAGTACCTTCAAATAAATATAATAAATACAACTTCTCTTTCTGAATAAAATTACGTCGAATCAAATGTAAAACTTAAAATCTGATATTTACTGCAACCTGCAGACTGACTGCAATGTTATCTACGCCTAAAACGATAATTAATATTCATAGATGCTATATTATATCTTCACGCTGCACCATATCCCTTGCGTATTCTAGACAGATAGATAATTAATATTAAGAATTAAACTTATACCAATAGTACGAGAGAGCAGACGAGGGTGCTGGCCGCGAAGGTCGTCTTCGAAACACATTTGGCTGGGCGCGCATCGAAGTGGTGGGCCGTTTGTCTGTGCACGTACTGTTCGCGTCGTTCGCGCTCGCGCTGGTTGTGAACGCGCTGCAACTCGGCGTGCATTCCTCGCACGGTCAGCCTCCGCGCTACCCGAAAGTCATTGTAGGGAGTGCCGTTATTGGACTCCTGCTACACGCTATCAACTATATGCTGCTAGCTGGTGAGTTTCAACTTAGAAAACCTAAACAAAATTTCAACATACATATTCCGAAAGTCTCTCACTCAAACAACAACAATTATTTTCAAAAATGCTTTAAACATCCACTTTGTCGGCAGAAACAGCTAGTTTCATAGAAATTGGTTCAAATTCAAGAATACGATGAATCCCTATCCCTACATTCATAAAAAAATATACCTCGTTGAGCATAGAAAATATGCAATGTTTTATTTTTTAGCTTAAAACATAAACAGAAAGCATATTTTGTTATAAAAGGAAAACTACTGATCCAATTTCAATAAAATTTAATGGGTCCATCTCGGCCCATTAAACTGTCAAATAAAAATAATTGAAAATCGGTCAATAATACAGGTGTAGACAGAAAACGAAAATACATTTTTTACAGAAAAATACATTTTTTGTGATTATCTTTAATATACTATTACCGATAATCACACTTTTATGTTTATCATATTCATTATATTGCTGAAATTAATTATATAAAAAAAACAAATATTTTATACTTGTAGTCACGTCACCGAAAACAGCGAGTGCCTGCACACGCCCCTCTTACTCATGTCAGAACTTAGAGAATTCAACTTTATGCATATTTCGCAACCAAGTGGTATAATCAACCGACCAATTGGACTGCTTTAACGGAACTGTGCCATTCAATTAACGGTCTGACTTTCGATCAGATTTGGTGTATCTGATACTTTCGATCAGATTTGGTAAACCAATTTTTTTAACTATCTAACCAACCTATCACGTGACCTACAGGGCCAACATAACTTCATGTATTTGAAATTTAGCTTTATTATCAAATTGCCCAATTGTCATATAGCAATATAATAATGACCATGCGATGTGATATATAATGAAGTTTAGATGAATTAATCACTTAGCCCGATAGAGTTAGGCATTATTGATAATGTTCTCACATTATTAATAATGCCGCATTAATCATTTCGTCCTTAACTTATTTATAAAATAAGAATATTTAAAAAAGTTGTCTTCACCCCTTTCGGCGGAAATATCGGTGAACATACATTAAAAACATAGAACGCCGTCGAGCATATAATCTCCTCCTTTTCGATTTTAAAGTCGATTAAAAACGATTTTGTCACATAAAGATATTAAACATCCGAATCTTTTCATAATTTAAATTGCAGCATTTCATGAGCGCAAGCAGTAGCGGCGTTAGGGTAGGGCGCGGTTGGGCAACCGCCCAGGGGCGCCGTACGAAAAGGGGCGCCGCGGCTTGCGGCGCCCCTTTTGGCTTTTTCGTCCGGTGCTTCTTTCTGCTTTTTCGTCCGGCGCTTCTTTCTGATTCTGTATATTGAGGAAGTATTTAAAAAAAATGAAAGCACTACAAAAGTACCTCCACCTAGATGGCGACTCTAGCAAAAGTTGATTTTTGCAGGAAACTAACGGACCAAAGACAGTAATTTCCGTTCCTATTAAGTAACTAACATATTAAAAAACTGAAATTTGAAAAGTTCGAATCTTAGATATCAATACAAATACGAAAAAGTACAAATAGAATATGAGTTGTTAATTGATTTTGAAAACTATTTACTTTTAAACATGAAAGAAAACTGGAAGGGTTGTCATGGAGAAATCAAGAACATACCGTAGCGACATCTAGTTTGATTTCGGGAACTAATGTTTTTTTTCTAATACTTCCTCATTTCCCACAGACGCCCTCTTATAGTTCCCTTCCTCATTGAACAAGGCCTACTGGGTCGGCGAAAAAAGAACAAGAACCTTGAGGATTTTTTTTTTATTTTCAAGTTGCCTCACTTTCAGCATGATTTGAAAGGAAACTTAACAAGAAAAATATTATATTATGGTAAAACAGAACAACATACCGATTACCAATATGAAGATATGTATTTTATTAGGTAATATGACGTACATTGGCGGGCATTATCGCTCGGTCATTTAAGAAAATTTTCGTTTGAGCATGTTTAAACGTTAAGTTGAAGCTAAAATGCTGCAATACAAACGAATGCATCGGCAGTGGAACCTCTGTCTGGCAAGTCAGATGGAATAGCTACTCAAGAGATTGTGGATGAAAAATCCCGAAGTAAGGGAGCAAGTTGTGCTATGATTACAGATGCTGCTCAGGATAAATCTGTTATTGATGTACAACAAATACATGTACTAGATGATGTTGATACTGTTGTCCCGAATATAGCGGATCCAGCTACTTGTCCACTTATTTGAAATAGCAAAATAATTGATTATATAATAAGTAGTGGCCCACTGCAAACTCACTGTCACAAAGTTACAACAATTACACAAAGTTATAGATAACAATTATGTGACACCCTGTTAGGGTAAAATTGAATCTGTCCTTACCTTATGATGTGATCCCTCAAAAATGAAGCAGCTACTTATACGCTATTTATATGTCTACTTTTTAAATAAAATTAATGTCACTATATAATTGGAACAAGAGCATCGTAACGTAGCGTTACTCGTTTGATTACTGTGTTTGCTTTAAAATAATCGAATAATTGTTTTAAGAGCGTCCACTTATGTCGAGCAAGAAGATAATTGTTGATTGTGTTCTTCTTCGTCAAAAATTAAAAGAGATAGATCTAGGGAATCCCCGATTATAGAAAAACACATTGTTTCTGTATAGTCGGAAAGTCGGGGATTACCGAGAAATTAAACCGATTGAACACTACTTTCCATTCTAATGCTGCCAACTTAACAATTTACCTAAATTTAGGGAAGATTACAAGTAAGTAGGCCGGGTCGGCGAAAAAAAGACAAGTAACTGATTTGTAGTATGTAGTAGTAACTGATTGTAATTGAATTGCAATTAGAGGGCGCCGAAGAAATTTCGCCCAGGGCGCCAGTAGTGCTAAAACTGGCACGGAGCGCAAGTAATACTAAAAATATTACGATAGTTTGATCGATTGTTCGATCAAAAGTTTTCATTCAGTCATCGCTCGATGTAATCGTTAGATAATTGGTACACCCGCAGCCTATGATGTAGTTTTACATTGAAAAAAAAAAACAATTTCACTTTTCGGAACTCATGAGATTTAGGTAACTGGAAGTATTAGATTTAATTATGATGTCTATACTTAATTAATAAAAATATAAATGTTGGTCGTCATAAACAATTTCATTAACCCTCTTTTCATTACCTACTCTAACAATAACATTAACACTTATCTACTGATTAAGTTAATTAACTGTTTTATTGTAATAGAATTGTGTTTTGTACAGAACTAGTTTCTAGAAAATTATACAATGAAGTAACAATGGCGTGTTTTGGTTTACACTATACGTTCATAAACTTGCCGGCTCTGTTAGCTTGTTTGAAAATAAACTTACACAAGACACACCTTAACTATAACTAAAACAATTTAACAATTATTTTGTGCAATCAACCCTATGGATAAATTTGAATTTTGATAAAATAGTCAATCATAAATGAATCTTTCACCTTTTATAAAACTTTACAATTAACTTTAAAACGCAAAAAAATTCTTAGATATTTAAGACTTTATGAAGATACAGTATTTAATTTTAGACATATAAGTTTCAAAAATTAGCAATCAGTCCATAATATTTCATTCATGAAACCATATTCACATTTTGATTCCTTTTTTTCTAACTACATACAACAAATGGTGTAGTTTCCCGCAGGTGAAATAATTTTCATATTCAGTTCAACCCCCTTCCTCCCGAACGCGATCGCGACCGATCTACATTACAATTGTGCCACTCCGCATACTTGATTGGTTCACTAGCATACTCTAACTCTAGCGCTAATGTACCCCATCAAGATTCCGAAAAGGCACAGTGGCAATGCCAATCGGTCGTGATTGCGTTCGAGAGTAAGGCTCCAAGAAAGTATTTCCGAAGATTACCCCTACAGATAAACAAACAAAGTATCTCCATATCCATTGTTACTCATTTGTCTCGCTAAAACTCGAGAAGGGCTGGGCCGATTTCGATTTTGATATGTTTGTCGTAGCTCAGGGAAGATTTGAGAGAGGGAGTCGTGAATAGATGATACGAAGTACACCGAGTCATCTAATATTAGTATACATTAACTATATATTTGAACTTCATGATTTTTACAATCTTTTAATACCTATTTATTAATTGAGCAGGTCGGGAACTCAGCTACAGCAGGAGGCTGAGTATGACAGAGGGAGGAGGAGTGATACTCAAGACGGGAGCAGGAGAGCCAATATTGGCACACGCTCCCACAGATATAGCAAGTAAGTTATTAAATCTTGTACATAATTTTTATTTGAATTGTGAGAGTTGTCTATTGCGAAAAGAATAATATTATATACTTAGTAATACTACAAAATACGAGTCAAAAATATAAACAAGAACGTCGTGTTGAAAAACAGATTATAGATATATGTAGTTACCATTTGACGACCTCCTTGGCCGAAAGGCTAACACGCCGTATTCAAGATGTCGTCAATCGCCGTATTCAGATGAGATTTCGTATTTAATTCCGGGAAAAATTAACTTTGCTATATTGTCTCCAGTTTGAGTGTTATGGTACCTTCGTTGTTACAAATACTCCTTAATACGAGTGCTTCAACTATCAATCTCAAATCTGAATAATGTTTGTGATATTGTCTATGTAAGAAAAGTATATCCTATTATCCTATTAATATTATAAATGTGAAAGTTTCTTTGTTTGGATGTTTGTCCGTCATAGTCCGTCATTCGATAGATTATTTTATTGCGCGCTAAAACTAAATAAAAGAGATAGAATATGTAACAAATTTATAATAATAAATAGGGTTACTTTTAATGTTTGTAGACCTCAAAACGACTTCATATATATAAAACATAACTACCTATACTTAATAATTAAAAGATATCACAGGTTCATACCCGATAAGATCCATTGAGTGCTCAATGAGTACAGCATTTATTAATATTGTGTAATAAATTAATGTTTATTAATTATCTAACAAATCGTCAAATTTTATACCTATATAATATGATCACGACGATTCAACACTAATTTTTGGTATTTAAAACGATATTGAAACATTTTTTCTTAAACAAAGTCGCTTGCCGCTGTCTGTACGCTGAGCTTCTTTAAACTACATAGTTACCCGACTGCGCAACGCAAAGGAGGGTAATGTGTTTATCAGTATATGTATATATGTATGTATGTTTGTTTCTATGTGGCGTTCTAGAGACCAAATGCGTAGGCCGATTTTGATGATTCTTTTGGTATTTCAAAATCATCTTTAGGTTCCTTTTATCGTTTTTCATTTTAAATAATAGTTGAGGATATATAACGATTAAAAATTGTTTAACAATACAATCATTTCGCTAATTTTCTTATTGATTTAAGTTTTTATTTAAAGTATAAACGACATACAAACAAAAAAAACAGTGAAAAAGCATGAAGAACACATATTTTTGGTTAAAAAAAATAACTTTTATTCATCGCCAAGTCGCCGAGTAAAAAAGTTTACCACCAAGCTCGATAGATAACTAAAAAGTATAAATAATTTAAAGAAAAACAAAAAGACTCACAGTCGGGGCCCATTCAAATTTTACCAATCAAATCTTTCCAAGGGGCATTAGAATTTATGATTTGTTTTATGTGTGTATCGATTATAAAACTATTTCAATTGTGTAGTTATTTAGTATTACTTAACAGAATTCTAAACTACTGGGCTTATTTCTTTCTTTTTAGTTTTTATTGTATTTTTCATGTATTTTTGAATTCCTTTTTACGCAGTCGGGTTTTTTGTTTTTTTTTTTTAATGTGGTTTCACCAAAATATTCAAGGGAAAGGTTTAAATAATAGAGGACCACGTGGGCGAAGCTAGTAAATGTAAGCTGCAAAATATGTACATGTTGGATGTATTACAAAGAGTTTATAAAACCTCTTTGTTTAGGTTACAAAATGGCAAATTCTATGAGATTACCTAATACATTCTTATTTCAGTGTCACTATAATCAGGTGTGTAAAATAAAGAAACAAAGAAACGTTACGTTAAAAAAGCAAAATAACAAATTTTCTGACAAATGGCGTTGATGTCTTTTATGGGCGATTTGATGAATGGGGAAAATCAAATTTTATGTTTATTGGAGATATTAAATGTATATTACGTTGGTTTTAATAAATGTGTTTGAATAGTTGATTACCAAATAATCTTTATAGTTTCGAAATCATCAAGAAACCCATATTCTTGTAGCTTCGCCATATCAGTTTTCCAAAGAAATTTTCGTACAAATTGTATTTTTTTTCCTAGGGGAGGGGTATTTAATATCATCACATTTCCGAATCATCATTGGAAACAACATTTATAATACTGATTTCTTATATTTTCACGCGCACAATCATTAAGTTGAAATATAAGCTTACCGCTCTGCAGCTATTAATAGGTGTTCGAATGACACGTGTTCCATAAATACACAGATTTATTTAATTAAAATGCGAATTATTGTGAAGTAAATTAGGGCCGGCGCATATCTGTAGGAAAATCCGTCAAGCGTCACACTGAAGTTGTTAGTACGCGACTAATAAGCATTATTAGTTCAAATGTCTAATTAAATATATTGTAATACATGGCTGCATTATCACAAATATTTTCGTTATGATAAAATTAATAAAGTTATTATTTTTATATTTCAGGTAGCTTATTTGTGATTGGCGCCGGGCTAACCTTGGAGTGGGCACCGGAAGCAGCCCGTATCGCAGATCCAGGCTTGTCAGCTTGCGCTGCTATTGTCCTTGTCATCTTTAACTATCCATTTAGTAAGAAAACAAATGGGTATTTTAAAATATTATCTTCTAGTCACGTCATATTACTTAGTCTGGTCACAAATACACTGAGTCGATTCTATACGTCTAGTACGGAGCTAAATACTGTTTAAAACCCCTCCATACGCTTGGTATTAGTCAAATGTTTATATACCGGCTGCTGATGAGTATAGTCCATTTTTGCTAACTTCAGATCTTAGCTTGAGATAAGTAGTAAACAAACAACTGTCAACGGTTTTTGTTTTTTTTTTGTTACACTTTATGTATATATTTTACCAAATCTCACTTGTTATTTCAATATGCTTTCGTGTATTATATTTAAAATGTTAATTCATAGGCATTCAGTAGATCATTCATTATACTCGTATAATTAAATGTTTGCTTACCCCATCAAATGTCAAATTTCATTAAGAAGCCATATTTATTTACTAGTTATCTCAAGTAAGAAAAAATAAACTACAATGAAACCTCCTCTGTTTGTGACAGCAAAAGATCTGGCCGTCCACGTAGTGTTCGTACGAAAAAGGCGATCAAAGCAGCTTACTGCTTCCCTTTAGGAAAGAATTGGAAGAAATCCTGTCTGAAAGCAAAATATTTTATCTAAAGAGATATGTATGTCTCGTATTTATAAGTGACGCACTGGTCACTTCTTAACAGATAAAATGGTGCTAAAATCAAATCAACTACTTATACGGTACGCAAAGAGAGTCACGAAAAATTTGTTTACGGATGAGATTTTTTTTTTTATGAGATTGATGAGAGAAACAAATTTGCCCATATTTTTGTAAGAAGATTCACGATTAGTCAACAGAGCACAAAGTGGGCATTATCCGACTGCAGTGATGCTTTGGTAGTTGATGCGTTTGATGTGTTGCTTAGCTATGAAAAAGGCATCAAAATATCGGCAGAAGTGTATAAGGATACCATTCTCGAGAAAGTAGTTAAGTCCCATAACAACACCATGTTCAATAACCAAATCATAAAACTAGATCTACCCAATCTTGGTTAGAAACGACCATTCCGGACTTATAGCTCAAAACAGGCCGTCATCTAGTCCAGATCTTAATCCGCTGGATTATGATTTATATGATTTTAGAGAGTAAGGCTTGTTCTAAACGCCATGATAATTTAAAGTCCCTAAAACAATCCATACGTTTTAGTTAAGAGTTTTCCCATGGAAAGAATGCGTGCGTCTATTGATAACTGGTCTCAAAACTTAAAGGACTGTATTGCAGCCAATGAAGACCACATCGAATGAGCGTTATATATTTCAAGGGCTGTAAATTAATATACGAGTATATATGTCATTAAGCGAGCGCGTCGTTACTCCCGATGAGTATTTTAATGGGAACGTAAATGAGAGGCCTTAATTTGTTGAAAATAAACATAAATATCAACAGCAGGAATCCTAATTTATGTTATTCTGTATTCTATCTAAATTCTCTTTTAAATATGTATACTATAGTACGGTCAGCGGGTCTGGTGCTGCTACAGACTGTGCCTGAGGGGCTGGGTGCTTGCGAGCTGCGCACTGCCGCGCTGCGTCTGCCGGGAGTGCTCGCCATACACGAACTGCACGTGTGGCAACTGCACAGAGACCGACTGGTCGCCACCGCGCATGTAGTCTACGACGCGCATAAGGTTTGTCTGCTTTAAAGCGTCTATCAGATTGGCAGCGCCACCCTTTTGGATTTATAAAATATATTTTTAATACATCTAGTCCCTTACATTAATACGTCACTTACGAAATAGTAATAACATAGTCTTAATGGCACTGCTGGACTAATGTCATTCTAGCAGCACACTCATACAAAACCACTATTTCTCTCTATTTTGTAATGAACTGATAAATAAGGAATAAGAACGATCTAGAATTCATTTCAAAATTCGAAAAGGCTTGAGGGAGAGATCTTATGTTTTGCCAGCATCCATATGGCTGAATGAAAGACAAAAGACTTCCCTCATTACGTCCGGCAATGAGATAAATAGGGACAGTTTATTTATCTTTACGTCCAGACTTCAGCAGTTTATTTAAGCTTCCTTCTAATACAATACAAAATAGTGTAATATTCAAGGACGAAATGCTTACGCCGACTAATTAATAATTTTAAGCGTGACTTCATTTCACACATCGTGGTTGATGTAAAATACTGCGTTACCTGCCTTTGGATCACTGTTATTGCGTCGCCATAATTGCTCATATTATGATATGTTCTAGAGTTTCACTTTTAGATGCTTATGCTTTCGTTATCAAATGATAGGCGGCAAATGCCCAAGACATTGAACCTCACAATATGCCATTGTGTGTAACAGCGTACGCCAAATTCGTCTTAGTTTTTCATAATAGATGAAAGTAGAAACCATTTGACGGTCATGTTGATGGAAAGCAAACAAAGTACTTATATAATCAAAGCAAAGTACCTACCTAAGTACTTAAATACAATGTCGACGAGACGGCAAGTGAAAACTATCATACGTAACCACAGACTAGATTACTTCCTTTACACGATCATTATCGTGACAATTGGCTTGCTTTTCTTGAGTATTACTGGTTAGATAACAATTACAATGTTATAATGTGTGTGATTCATATGATTATTTTATTTCATAAGAACCAAACAGTCAATATTTGTGTATCTCTATTGTTATTTTTTTTAATTATTATCAATATCGCCGTCACTAAAACACATCTTTATTAAATTTGAATTTAACTATAAATACCTACATCAAATAATAAACATAATATTATTTCTATTTCATACAAAATATCTACTTCTGAGGTAATGTGAATGGCTGTAAAATTGTAAATTCCTCAGTAAAATAACATAACCATCGTGTATATTACAGAATTACCTGCACAGCTCTGCACTAGTGTCTGACCTATTCAAGCGCTATGGAATAGGGTTGGTTACTTTGCAACCAGAATTCGACCTCGTCGATATTATGGGTGAGAAATTCGACATTACATATATTGTAAAATAAGAGTCATCCGAGAACTGAGTTGGGTTAATTTGTTATGCTAATTTCTGTAATCGAATAATTGAAAACCCTGTCTAGAACTAGCAACGTTAGCCAACGGATTCAGGCTTTGGTGCCAGGGGGGTCACATAGTCGTTGTCTAGTTATAAGAAGTAAGATAATTATAGATACAAAGCATTATATAAAATTAATTAAATTTCAAAAGAACTTAAATAAAATCTATATTCTATAGATGAAGAATATAGACCTAGCCCAGGTTGTGTCTTGACCCCATCACCACCCTTGACATTAACAACATAGGAATCGCGTCTTATTACCTTTCTGGACCTGTAGTACGAGTTTTGATAGTTTAATTTGCAAAGTTGCCCATAATATCGGAACATTTTAAAATATAGGTTTATATCTATTAGATTTCTATGCGAAGTAGAATTAATATTTTTGCTTAATTTTGCTTTCAAATACTATGTTGATATTACCTATACTAGTAGCTCGGTAGCGTAGTGGATAACCAGAAGTGGGTGACCAGAAATTATTATCTCCCGATACTCCGTTCGGATGGCTCGTTAAACCGTTATTCCGGGCTGTAATTGCAGTCGCTAATATCCATAAGGACGACCTAAGCCGCTGCAGTGAGCAAGGCGATTGAATATTATGAAGATCTGTCGCTTCAATTTTATAAACAATATTCTTTGAATTACAGGATCAGATGAGGAGAAAAAAGCTTGCATAGACTTAGCAAATTTAACATGCGCTAGTCCATGCGCCAAAGAATGTGTAGCTCCACGGTGTTGCGCCTCGCCAAGGAAACAGTCAATTACACGCATCTAAACAAACCCAGTCTTAACAGAGCGGCTGAATGACATTGATTAAAAAGTGCCTATTTCATCTTATAAATCGACCCAATTTCTATAAAAACAAATATCAGTTATCTACAAATTAGAATAAGAACAAATTACTTCATTGTGGAAAATGGAATTACCGATTGAATAGTTATAAGAAATTGTTGAAAGCTGTCTTAAATAAGGTTAGAAAAAGCCTTTTGATAACCAAATTTATTCTTTGTTTGTCTCAGTCTTTATTCAACGTTGGTTAAACCGTTACCTGCTTTAAGTGCTCAAAACTAATGGACCCAATTTTATGAAATGTGACGCCGCCAAAGAAGTATCTGATCGTTATAATTAGATTATAATCTATATTAACACAAATTTATAAATGTAGAACAAGAGTGAAAGTGTTAACAACAAGACAGCTACAGAGCTATCAGTCCTATCCAATCAGAGAAATTTTAAAACTATTATTCGTGGATGAACGACAAGACCCTCTGCCCAGGAACTATGCGCGTATTAAACGGGTTTCGTTATACATTACCCGATAGAAAGGAATATTGTAACAAATAAATATAACGTTTGTAACAATGAACTTGAATTCGCGTCAAATTCGCCCCTTCTGTTTTAGGGTGACAGATAAATGAGCGTGTGGGTCGAGTGTATTGTTTATTAATTTGTTGTTTAACTATTTTATAAGTATTTCTGGTAGAGAAACTCGTGTTCCCTTTTCTACAGTCACCAAAACCAAAAAAAGTTAATTATTATAAGTAATCCTATAAGTCTTTTGAATTAATAACGCTCAAATATATTTGATACATATATTTTCTTGAGAAATGTTGTGAGAATTCGAATCTGTATCCAGCAATAGGCAAACCTCCGCTGCCCTGCCAATTCAAAATACTGTAACTTAAAAATCACTTTATAAACTGTAATGTACGCTGTACCTATACTTGTTTACAATTATTTGCATTTATTTACTTGCAATATCTTGTTAAGCTATAACACTGTAAGTCTTATAGCTTAACTTACAGTCCTTTGGATTGGCACTTCAATCCGTCTGGTAGTCGAGATTTTAGGTATTTTTGGTTATCTTCTTCTTCTTCTTTCGTGTCAATGGCAACCAAAACTAAATGTCACCGGCCCAGAACTCCGCCACTTTTACGGCGCTATCTGCAGCCGTCATGAGATCCTCCTGCGTACAGGTGCAGGGGCAAGCGGAGCAACATATCAGGTGTGGAGTGGTCTGAGGAGTAGTACCACACCTGCACGCAAGGTCCGCAGTATTAGTAAAACCCCACCTGGACCTATTGTCTTTACTCCGGCCGACCTGATTGCGGAGTCTATTTAAAGATTTCCACACCGGTCTGGGGAGGTCGTAGCCATCCGGGAGTTTCTCCTGGATTGGCACAAACCGGGAAGGTAAAAAAGCGGAACCCAACCACAGTTCACGCCTAGCCAAAGAGGCCTCGGAGATGAAGCCTAGCCAAAGAGGCTTTGGTTATAATAACATATAACGGAATAATGGTTCTAAATCTACTATACTTATATATTTTAATACCAGATAAATTCTGCGGTTGTAATTAAAATAAAATACTGATAATTCTAGGATTTTAATAATTTATTAGATATAATTATAATACAAAGGAAAAATTCTAGTTTTTACTTATTGAACAGTGTTACTATGAAACAGTTAGAAAGGTGGTGTACAAAGCGACTGTGATGTTTCTAGACAGTATTACAATAGGGAAGCTAGATAAGTACTATATATTGATAATATTATGTTTAATTGTGACAAATAATAATAGATTAAGCGAGTTTCTGTACAAAGTTTTGTTGATTGCTCATAAATAAAACGAATGCATTCAGATTATTTTCTATACCGATGTTGTGTTATCACTATTACCCAGATTGGCGTTAATCTAATAGCTTCACTGTAATGGAGAAGATATAGGGTGGGTGCTTCAGTTTCACACCAAAAACCACCAGAACACCAATTAAGGTTTTTTAACATATATTTTTACGTTTCGTAGCACTGCCGTACTTCTACCAACCATGTGATCATAACATACCATCTAAAACTTGGCCCACCTTAAGCACATTACACTTAATAGCAATAAAAAAATTAATAGATAATCAATAAATCATGGTGATTATATGGTATTAATTTCAAAATGTTGCTGAATCGGTACCAGTAACCAGTAGCAATTGGGGCATCCACCCTATATATATATATATAGCAAGTATAGCATAGATATAGCAAGTATATCTATGCATATACTTGCGATTTAAAAAAGACATGATTGTGTGACTAGTTCACGGTGTAATCTTTAAAAAATTACACTAATTCTTAATTGCTGAATCAATCTTTTAGTCTAATCTAAAAAAAGATGCTATTTTTTTTATTTCATACAGGGTCAAGAAATATAAAACCTTAGATTTATGCGAACATTAAATCATAATAAGAAAACATATTTTAATACGTGTGTTGAAAATGCATGTTTTTTGTTTCATTTATAATATATGAAACCAAACCACTCGACATGCACTATTATCAACTAGTACTGACACTTATATTGTCAATATCATCACCATATGTCGAATTCAACTCATTCTTAGCCGTAACAATTAGTTGATGATGAGTTGTTAAATATTTTATTATTTATAATAGCAATCTGAAACAATGAATACCCAAATAAGAGACAATATAGAAAAGTTCATTTTCTACATTGACCCGACCGGGGATCTAACCAGGGACTTCTGGGATGCCTTGTAACCGGCCACGGAGGGCGTCAATATTGAATGTAATATATACAAAATAATTCATGAGACAAATCGTCTAAACTGTTTATTTTAATGACATCTACTGAATTACGGACATTAGGCAAGTATTACATTTTCTGATATTGAAAGAAACATTCAAAATAATAGACACCACTCTCATAATCACTCGTCACTGCTTTTGTTTACAAATTCATTTAAAATATCACCTGTACGACCGACTCGCTCACGTTTATATTCCCTTTTTATTCACAGTTATCGCTGTGGTAGCTGTCAACAAGTGGCGACAGTACATTGGCTTGCAATTGCGGCTCTTCATCAATTTCTTGCAATCACTGCCCGATTTTAAATTCAATTTATTCTGAAAGAAAGAAACGCTGATTTGACATTTCATTGATACCCCATAACACTACAGACAACTATAGAGGCGATTAAATTAGTCAATACGAAAAGTTTATATGTAGTGTTGAAAATGTGCTGTCGTTGTAGATTTCATGATTTTTTTAACTAACACAGAAAATTTTATTATTAAGAAAAAAAATATTTATACCAGACATGAATGGCATTAGCTCAAATATATGTTATGGACTAAGTGATAAATTGAGCGTTACACATAATGCCCGGTCATTATAAAAAATGCTCAATATGAAAGAGCAATTTGGTAATAATTATTCAAATAATCAAATTGACCGGGCATTTTACATATTGTTCATTACCTTTTGGGCAGAGTAATACAAACATATTTAATTAGTATATTTTTATTGTAATATTTTATAATTGGCCCACAGTTTACTTCGATATAGCCCAAGGACATAAATGAGATCACTTAAAATAAACTACATGTAAAACTAATTAAATAGTCAGTCTTATTATTTGGATTAATTGGTAAGGAATTCATACATTACGATTCAAATAATTTTTGCATTTGAAACTTAAGGAAAGTAATATTATAAATATAGGTATATTAAGTATCTATTAAAATATATAATTAAATATTGTATGTAATATATCATTTGTATGTTTTAAAGACGTTTTAAGGGAATCAATTTAAGATCGGCGACTACGCCAACGTGCGCTAAAGGGGAGAAAAGCATAATTAATAAGAAAAAGCAATAAGAAAGTTTTATTACTCTATCATCCAGATAATATAAATTAAGACCTTATTTTATAGTCTTTAAAGTTTCGTTTCCTCGTGAAAAAATATGATATAGGAAGACGAAAAAGCCTTTACTGTTATCTATAAAAAAAAATAAACACGGGATTCAAGACGAATTTCTAACCTATTATGAGACCTAAAGTGATAAAATAATTACGTTTAATTGTATTTTTCTTTTTTGTTATCTGTTAAAAAAATAACCAACAGTCAGATTCATTATTTGGCATAATTAATTACCATCTTATAGAAATCCGTGTCACGTCCCTTCCCGCACCACGTTAAATATAGCTTTACTAGTGGTCGCCAGCGACTTCGTCCGCGTTTTCCATTATTTCTTCGCTCCTAATAGTTGCAGCGTTGCATATAGCCTAAAGCTTTCCTCGATAAATGGTCTATTCAACACAAAAAGAATTTTTCAATTCGAACCAGTAATTCCTGAGATTAGCGCGTTCAAACAAACAAACTCTTCAGCTTATATATAATAGATTATTAAATTAATATATAATAATGCTCGCACATTGTTAATAATGCCCGCATTAATTACCAGGTCTACAACATATAGATTATATGTATCATAATATACCTCCTTTAATAAGCGATAGTTGAGTTTAACACCCAAGTAACATTCTCCGAAACATTCACTCCAGCCGAGCCACGGACCCATCTCACACTTATCACCTTCACCTAAAAAAAGTATTATTAGGACAATAACTGTCATTAAACAATATACAGGGTTATTAGTAACACACCAGTAGCTGTGCAGGAGCTAGGCAACATAATAAACCACAATATTGGAACAACAATAATTTTCCATGTGGTACTATTGTGACCTATAGATCTAAGATTTCTTCATAAAAGAAATGACAATACATAATTAATAAAAGCAGAAAACTTTAATTTTGACAATTTAAAGAAACATATTTTTAATTGTACGTAAGTATGTACCTAAGTATTATATTATTTTACCTGGTTCATCATTTTGCAAAACTTCGTTATTTTCGGTGGGAGGTGTCGGCTTCATCTTTTTTGTAACGACTTCAGAATGCACAGTAGAAACTGAAACTTGAATTATAAAATATTACAAGATACATTATCATACTTTTACTCTCAACTCTGTCACTTAGGTAACTAAACTTATATAATTGATATTCGTAATAGCGAATGCACCCCAAAAACTACAGACTCATGTATTACATATCACATCAGATTCATATAACTCATAGCATCGAGAGACAGAGAATAATATAATAACAACACTAACGCGTACTATCACCCGGTTTCTGAATTGAATATTTAAAGTCAAGGATGTCTCAAGCTGTACTTAAACGTTACTTAAACAGGTTTTCGACCCTACTGCTTACTGAACCAAAAGTCTGCGCAAATTCATCAGGTCTTCCAACTTCAATATTCAAGATTAAAAACTCTTCAGACATAGCCGTCTAGAACACATGGCTTCCACCGTTATCGAATATAATAAAATATGCAGATGAAAATAGTCAATGGAGTTGTATTTCATGTCAAGGAATTATAGAAAGTAATACTCTACTCTAATCCCCGCGTATATTTACTGATTTACAGATGAACATATCTTAGAACAAAAAAGCACAAAACAAAGCATATAATATAATCTAACTGTTCGTACAAACGCTGTATATATATTGTTGCTGTGGTAATCCCTAATAACGTAAAATCAATATGTTCCAATAGACCCCTAAGAAGAAGAAATAATAAATGAAACTACTGGACCAATTTAAAAGATATATATACAGGAAATATATCACATATATACATAGATAAAGGTTATAATTTCGAAGGCGAAGTCACGGGAAAACAGCTAGATAATATACCGTTAGGCGTGCTGGTGGTAGTGTTGGCGAAAGTTTGATTGTAACACAGACGACGGCAGTGGTCCCTGGTGCGGAAGTTATTTCCGTTGCCGCCACACCCGCTGAAACCGAACGGCTCGCAGGTTCCGCGGGACAATGTCGTAGAACCAACGCTCTTCATAACCCCGGCAGTGGCCCACCGCGAGTGCTTGTTTGCACACTTCTGGATATAATTAGACACCGTCACATACATGTAACTACCTCGGTGGCGGCGTATTGGATAAGCGCCTCGGCCCGCGATTATAGTCGTTAAGCAACTTTCGCAAGGTCACGGGATGGGTGACCAAAAAATTATTATCTCGAGCTACTCCGTTAAGCCGTTGGTCCCGGCTGCACTTGCAGTCGTTAATACCCTCCAATCCGCATTGGGCCAGCGTGGAGGGTCATGGCCCATCCTCCTTAACCACCTATAAGGAAGGCCTGAGCCCCTGTAGAAGGGACGTTCATGTATCTAAACTAAATTCATATTATGAAAATCGGAAACCTCGGGTATTGGCCCGAGACCATATAGATAAAAACAATTAGAATAAAGTTTCAAACGTCGTATCATTGTAGTTACGATCATACGAACAAATGATGCGATTTCATCGTACAAAGAGATTAACCGCACATTTGATAAGTGAATTGGTTCTCTTTTTTTTTATCTGGAGCTATAAATCTACATAAAATAATGAAATATAAAGTAAAATAAGTAATGCTTACAATTTTAAATGTTAACCTACTATAATTTTAATTTTGTTGCTTTTAGCTGTTGTCTGTTTTGTCTATTGTTCCATTACCTATAAGTGGAAACTTGTAATTGGCCTTCTTTATAGATATAATAAAAAACTATGTATAGTAATACCTAGCTGTAAGTTTTCCTAAGATATTGAAAATAAAATAAAATAAAAAAACATAGTGTGCATAGGTGCTAGCAGGTCGTATCATTGTTATGTAACAATGATACGATGAGGTATCGTGTAATCGAGCAATCCACGTTTATAGACATCTTTATGTGTTCTAAACGGACACTAAAACTAATATTCTAAAAATTCACTCCACTGATTCTAGATTGATAGACTTTGCAATCAACCTTTTTTTTTAATTTCGATGTCATTTACATTTTCTGTCATTTCCGTTAGTGAATTGGGTCGCCACGCCGCTTCAAAATTGCATGTTCAGATAAATAAATAGGTAAAATACAGCCAGTTGCACAAACGTCCATTAAAATTCTCATTAGTTTAAAGCGACATTACCGATACAAGTTTGACATTCATTAGAGCATAATGGCGTCATTAAACCTTAATGGCCTTTTGTGCAACTGGCCGATAATTGCATAAATATCAAAACGGAACTAAAACGCTGACCACACTGAAAAATAAAAACCGAAAACCGAACAGGAGTATAAATCTTAATATTACCATGTGGCTTTTCAACGTCCACACAAGAGACGTCATCTCCATCACATAGTGCTTCTTGTTGAGAAAGAGTAAACTGACACTTGTTCAGTTGATCTTGAACAAGCTCCTCGATTTCTGGATCAGCAGATGTGAAATTTTCTGACGGGAAATCCTTCAAGTAAAAGTATCAGTACATTATTACAGTTAACATTTTATATTAAAGAAAAGCATGTAAAATAACTCACTAGCTTTTGAAGTTCAGCAAATCTCTTATTCCATTGGTGGAGTAACCTTCGCGATAACTCTGGTTGCGCTCGCAAATCTTGTGCAAGGTACAATCGCGTACGCAAACGACGACCGCGCCCACAACGAGACGAACATGGCGACCAATCACCCCACGGTGTCACTTTACAAGGCCAGCTAGGCTGATCCTGGTATTAAACGAAATTCCTTTAAAAAATAACCAAAATATTATTTATAAATAAACAACTCGCATATATTGTGATGAAATATTTGGTGTATTACCTTTTGAATATGAAGTGTTTGGTGTGTATTATATTATTAAATATTTGGTGAATTATAAATATTTTTTATTAACTTACGACAAAGAACCAATCGTGATTCGTTGCGTTAATATATTTGGCGGGCCTGAAACAAAATATTTACATTCTGAGTATTTTAGCGTTTGTACTATTTATCTAGGTCAAAGCATACACGTTATCATAGACTAGACCTAATTAATTTACAGCAGTAACTTACGAAAAACGAAGAGCCTAACTTAAAGCTTCCCTTTTAATTTTCGTGTCTGTATTAATTGTATTCATTGGCGACAAACTGTTCTACGGATATAATGACTAGCGAACCACCCCAGTCTCCCATGAATGCAATTAACTACAGCCGTACTGAATATAGCCTTCCCCCATATATCTCTACGGCGATCTCAGCGGCTTTTCACAACCCTTGGCAGACCTTCGATATACCTTATGGAGATCTCCACTGACCGTCGTCCATTATCGCTATTCCAGAATCTTTCACTAAATTAAGTAATCCTTCGATTGCTTAGCGATTTCAGTAACATTGATTATCCTATGGATCGCCTCATTAAATCACGTGGAGAAAAACCAAGCAGTGGTCTCTGCATTGCGCGCTGGATTACCCAAAACCTTCTTATGAGACCCACAGTTAACGACCACGTTTCGGTTCCGTCAGCCATTACTAGCAACACACACTGATCAAACTTTTATCTTGAGACACTGAGGCATTTTGACATTTGAATGCAGACAAAACATTCCTTGAATTCGCCATAGGTACTACGCGTATTAGACGTCTTTCCCCTTCAAAAGCAGAGTAAAATAAACAAAAAAGAAAGTAAACAATAAGTCTAGTTACAGAAGTGTTATCATCTATAACTCTTACGAATTAACAAGGCACCTGAACTCCTATTCTGTTCGTCTTCGAGCGACAATTTGTATATTTTAAAATCTGTGAAGATTATCTATGCATCAGAGGCAGCATCGGATCTTACCTCCGTTGCATCATAAATTATCGAAAAATGCTTTTCTTTGGATTCCTTATAGCATTCCTAAAATAAGTTTGTGTCCTACAAGCGAAAATACAGGTTTCTGTTATATGTCAAAAAATACATTTATAGACATTTATTTGGAAAATATTATGCTTTAAAAACTTGAAAAAAGTAGGGAAAATATATTACTTAAATTTGCATTAATACCTATGGCATTAATTTAGTTACATACAACATAACAACTTTTATTATGACAGCTATAAACACACAAATTACAAAGATTGCCTAGACGTCGATACGTGTGACGTCACCTAGTGCTTTGAATTTGTAGCGTGCGTTTTCGGCCGTCTAGCAGCATTAGCCTATAAACGAAATTTCTTATATTATTATTCTTTTTCGAATGGCTTCATGAGTCATATTGAGTCGTACAAGTAGTAAGAGAAATATATTTCAATCTTGAAGCTCAGAGTGGTAAGTGTAAGTTTTACGCTAACGCGTTCACTAGTGAGCGCGTTAAGAATTTGTATGGAGATTTGTAGTTCTTGATAGTTACCGCTAGGGGCGCTGTGCCGAATTCCATACTAAAATCTTAACGCGCTCACGATCGACAGTGAACGTAAACGTCAAAAAAACTTACACTAAGCGCTCTGTATGAAATAAAACAGGGATAAAAAAGCAGCCCTTGCTGAGTTTCTTGCCGGTTTTTCTCGGTACAAAGTCTCCCGCCATATATTTACGAACCTCTCAACTTTCACAAGTGCTCGTAACAGCCTAGAACTAGACTAGAATAAATAATTTTGATTTTGCTATTTACTTGTGGCAAGGCCCCGCCTCGCATGGCACGGCCTGGCTGAGCGGTGCGCGCGCGCGGTACCCCTGGTGGCAGCGCTTGTGCGCGCGCGGCACCAGATAATGCCGCGTGCGCGCCCGCACGCCACACCCCTCGCACGCTGACCACGCCGACCACGCGGATAACGCGCATGGACCCGTCGACAGAGACGCTTCCGGCTCGAAGTCCGATATTGCTCTGTTCGGCGAGGGGACGTGCACTTAATATTATGCTAGCTTTCCACCCACGGCTTTGGCCGCGGAATCTCTTTTCGCGATAAAAAAATATATACTCTGTGTACCAAGTTACTTTAGAATTTGTTCAGTGATTTAGGCATGTGTCGACTGGAAATCGACGCTTCAGTCTCCTGCAGCATTATGGCGGGTTATGTTACGTAATCTTTGTTATAGAAAGAAGGTGGATTAGTACTAACAAGCAGGGCTCAGAGATGTCAAGACCTTTTTTGTTATTTTCGGCATTTTTTTTATTTCTAAGTAATAGGTAATTATCAAAAAAGGGGGTAGAGACCTCCCAAAAAAATTGATGGCTAAACGTACCTTCAAAAAATTGTATTCCTTATTTCATTCTCAGTATATTTACACTCAAAATTAAATTTACTCGTAGTAGTATTCATCATCAGCCCTTAAACGTCCCCACTGCAGGGGCTCAGGCCTTCCTTATGGATGGTAAAAAAGGATGTAACATGACTCGACGCTGGCCCAATTAGAGGGTATTAACGACTGCAAATTCAGCCGAACCAACGGCTTAACATACCTTCTGAAGCACGGAGTATCTCGAGATAATAATTTTTGTCACCCATCCCGTGACCGACCATTGCGAAAGGTGCTTAAGAACAACGATCGCTGGCCATTGCGCTTATCCGCTACGCTACCGGGCAACTAGTTGTATTAAACTACATACAACTGCATAATGAAAAAAATATATATTGGGGCCCAACGTAGAATTTTGGTTACCTGCAATGTAGCCTTGGCCCGTGGCACCTCGTGTAATCAGTGAGGGGCACGCGGCACGCTTCGGCGTGGGCACGAGTCGGCCACACGTACTGGCGTTGCCTGGAAGCGCGCCCCACGCCGCACGTCACGCTGCACGGACCCCACGGAGCCCACGCGTGGGTCGCGCATGCCCCGCCCCCGCTCCCACTAGACTGATCGGGACTTGACTCGCTGCCTGACTCTACAGTTCACGAGAATACGCTCAGTTCCCAACCGTCCCAAAGTTGCAAATCAAAAGTCAACATTTTTAGTTTATTTTAGTAACCTTAATTGTGTTGTTATTATACAATATTATTAATTAACATAAATTTTCATGCATGCTGTGTTTGCCTTTAACAAATACATTTAGATTTAGGGTATGTTCCGATATACACTGCGAGCACTGCGCAGTGGTCTTACTGCTGAAAAATCCGTTCCGTTATGGACTGCCAGTACACTGCTACAGTACCCTAGGGAAATTTATGACGTCATAAATTGCCGCCATATTTGTACTGTGAGCACTGGAGATTTCGAGGTAAGGTGCTCGCAGTGCTTTTGATCACGTGATCAGTCGAAACAGAATCAGAAAATGATAAATTTCTAAATAAAAAAAAAAAAATACTTACGTTTATTTATAAGATGGATTTAATTGATAAATAATTTTTTTATACAATTTTCCAATTTTCTTTTGAAAAGAGGGAATCTTTATATTTATATTCACCTTGCATTAACAAATTTGAAAATTGCGCCAAAAAATAGGATTAACAGTATACTGGACTGCGTTCCGTTTTAAAAAGTCACCAGTATAACTAGCTATAAAACGGGCTTCCAGTATACTAAATTGACGTCATACTGTTCAGTGGTCGCAGTGTATATCGGAACATACCCTTAGTCATAACATGTTCCATAGACAATAAACTTTCGACTCGTTTCTGGTAAACCTAAACAAATAAATAAAATCTAGCCAATTTTGTCATAGTTAACCTAAAATATTTACGATATCGGTCAATAGGTACAAAAGTCAACGTTCGAAATTCAATTTTATTGCAATTTAATTCTAAACAATCAGTAATCGTTGTTAAACTTTTCCTTTTACTTATACGTCGTAAATTTATTGTTTTTACATTTACAACGTTAAATATTGTTGTTATATATGTATAAACATATTTTAATTTGATTTTCCCGAAACATCTGAAATTATCTTTATATTTGTACGTCAGGCATACGAGATATCGATCGTAAATTTTATGAAACTTACTCGCAGCATCGCAATTCTTTTCGAAAAGTTGTAATCGATTAAGCCGTAGTCTTGCATAAGGGCGCATCTCTCCGCTGGTGCTGAAAAACGGCGACCGCGGGTCTTTGGGCCAGTCAGGACGTAGAGCACGCACGGGCGCTGGAGGCAGAGTTGGCTGGCGACGCGACTAACGACGAAAGTCCAAATAAAATATTACTGTCACACAATGACTTTTAAATCCATTTTTTTTACAAAACTTTCTTGATATTTAGGCATACCTATAAATACAATTACTTGAAATCATATCTCCGGCATAGAGGCGTAGCAGTGACATTTTAAGTAAATCCTATTATCCTATTAATGTGAAAGTTTCTTTGTTTGGATGTTTGGATGTTTGTCCGTCAATCACGGCGAAACTACTGAACGGATTTAGATGAAATTTGGTACACAGATAGGGTATTAGCTGAAGTCAGTTAATACCCTATCTGTGCACCAAATTTCATCAAAATCCGTTCTTATTATACACTAGCTTTCGCCACCGGCTTCACCCGCGTGGACCCTAGGGAAATGTTTAATAGAATACTTTTTATCCCACTAAACACTTCCCTAGGGTCCACGCGGGCGAAGCCGGTGGCGAAAGCTAGTGTATAATAAAAGCAACGATGCCTTGACTGGTCCAGATGTCTTTTCGATCAAGATATAGTCAGTCTAGTCAATAGGCTACACCAAACTGTCAAATTTCACCACTTGATTTGAAACCTTAATGCGTTGATGGTAGAGTTCAAATTCAATTAATAAAATTTGACATATTGTGGTAGCTTGACGTGCAGCCGTATGTATATGACCAGTCAAAAAGTAGATCGATCTGACAGAGGTGGTTAATTGTATTAAAATCGTTTCGTTTGCTTGGGTTACTTTGGGCTCCGCCATCCCAAATACTTACAACATAAGTAATCCCGCTGTCAGTGCCAGCATCATAGGGATATAGCGACAAAGTTGCCGAGTTCGACCATGTGCAGTTGGCATTACATAGCTCCAACGCTGACACACCCACGATCCAGTCTGGTGATGGCGACAGCTTCGACGCTAGCGACACCAGGTGGTTTTTAGAATCCACCCTGAACACCGCGAAGGTGTTGGGCGTACCGGAACCGGCGACTTGCTGCCACGATATCCCGCGCGCTTTTATGATAGTACGAATGTGATCGCTCTAAAATAAGAAAACGACAAAACTTTTGATAATATAAAGTTAAACAATATCTTCTTACAGTTTCTATTTTTTCGTCATCATCAAATCAAAACAAAATTGTTTATTCAGTCTAGGCTGTTACATAGCACTTGTGAAAGTCGAAAACTACGCCAACAGCTCGCAAAACTACGGCGGGAGACCTTGTACTAAGAAGAGCCGGTAAGAAACTCCTCCTGTTTTATTTCACACAGAAAAGTCTTATTGGAAAGTGACTTTATTAATTAGACTATGAAGTTACTTTCCATCATCAGCCGTACGAGGCCATCTACTGAACATAGGTTTCCCCCTTAAATCTCCACGCCAATCGATCCTGCTCTGCCGACATCTAGCGACTTCCCGCAAATTTAATAACAACAATTATTACTTCTGATTTCAGCTCCTTTTCTAGCGCAGTAGTGGTTCCGTCTTCAGCTAATCGCCTCAAACCAGCACTTGCTATTCTGCCTTCCTGCCATACTCTATACTGAGCAGTGTGGGATGCGCCAATGACATCACCAAAGTGCGCATGCGTAGACTCCGGTGGAAATGCATGTGTGTGCGTATTTCGAGACCACAACCCTTCGAATGTCACCTATTAAAAAATAGTCATTTTAATTATTTTATGAGATTTAGTTTTTAAGTTGCACAATAGAAGTAAAATAGTTTAACGCAACTTCTTGTGTACATGATCGGCAAACCTACCTCGTACTTAGCCTCATCACAAGCGCAACATGGTTCGATTATAGGCGGCTGCCTAGCAAAGGAGGCAGGCGCAGTGGGAGCTGCGCAGATCTTGCGCGCAAGTACTGAGCCCTGCCCACCGCCCACTGGTGACGCGCGGGCACACAAACGTACACATGCTTCGGACGTTTCTTGTGGTGCACTCCAAATTATCTAACACATATTATCCACTCTGTACTGAATTAATTACCAAGCCTTATGACTATTGGTAAAGAAATTGATTCGAGCGATATTTTCTTCGAAATTAAGGTTTTTTTTTTAATTTACTTAAATATACCAAATATTATAAAATATAATCGAAGAAAATGTCACCCAATAAATTGGCCTTTCTGTCGCATATTTATAATAACACTTGTGCCTCCTATAATACCAGATGCTAGCTCCTTCCCGCGTCTATGTCACCTGTGAATAATGTTGCTTCCGTAGGCAGGGCCGCCACATGGGGGGGGGCAAGTGGGTACTGTTGCCCCGGGCCCGGGCCCAGAGGGGGCCCGATCCGGTCCTGTATTTAGTAAATAAAGTATTTTATAATTTTCAGGCATATATAAAACAGAGTCTATCACACTTGCCGGCCCTGATAAGATTAAATTGTATACTTATACAGAGACTTTCCTCTTTAATCGGTCCATAACATTAAAATAAATTTAATTATATGTGTTGATTAATGATTATATAAAATTTAGTCAATCATAATTTCTGCCACAATCGTACCTTTGAGGAATGAGTAAATTGGAACTTCTTTAAATACGCCCTCTATTCATCAATACTTGTATTTAAAGTAGTTAAAATAAAAAATCCTATGACTGATTGGATATACAATTTTCGTTTCATGCTAATTTATGACATTTTTATGGTTTTGGTATTGATTGGTAATTACTTGGTAATTAAATAATTGGTTGGTATTATGAATACTTGAATTTTCAATTTTTAAGTTCCACTTTCTTTTATTTATTTGATTAAAATTAAATTAAATGTAGAATAAAACATAGTTTAATAGTTTTTTAATTATCATAGCCCTCTCTAGTAAAAGTGTCGCGGCCAAAAAAAGGGGGGGAGGGGAGGGCGTGGCCAGAATCTGGTCCCGGGCCCGACTTGGACATGTGGCGGCCCTGTCCGTAGGTACTCATAAAATAAACTTTTAAATCGGTCCAACTACTGGAGTCTATTAGATGCAAACAAACAAACAATCACATCTTTTCTCTTTAGAATACTAATATATATTAAACGGTAGCATCTAAAACACAGAATTCATTTTAACCATATCTAATATAATCTGAATGTGGCGTATGAATCTGGAGTAGGTATGCTTCAGATCAGAACCCATGGACAGCCTTCCGCACAAATGCGTCTATTTTGCACGAACTAAATGTAAGGATACAAATCTCTTCTATCTGATACAGTGCTTGAATTCTTTGGTCACATAAAGGAAGGGAGCAACGTCGAGCAACTCATGGTTACCAATTATTACATAGTCCAATTAGGTGGATTGACCAGAACCTTGGACGCTGATTTGCACTACATTCTACCTTCGGCCAAGGAGAGGAACATATGGCGAGCAATTGTCCGAAAGAAGATCACACTACAAGTAGGGAATCACGACCCTTAGTAATGAGGACAACGACGCGAGGAAGAATAATCTGAACATTCCCAAGTACCGTCTGACGTCATGAAATAAACCTATAAACATAACACAATGATAAATACGCATTGTTTTTTCTTAAAGCATCATATTTTTATGACATAGCATACAGTTCAATATCTTTTAAGTTAATCTAATGAGCCTCTTAAAATTAATAGGAATGATGTCTAGATAAAGAAAAAAGAAATTCTATTTATTTTAGACCGTCATTTAGAAATTAGAAAAATATAAGATGTTTTTTTTTCTTCAATTTAATAAGAAATCGTTGATATAATAGGCATGAAAATTGAAGAGTGGGGGTTCGCTACGTCACAGCTATGTAGAAAATGTACAAAGGTGTGAAGTCATGCGATATTTCAGCTCTATGTATAACCGAAATTTATTGATTACGTAAAAAAATACACGTGTGTGTATTTTTTTAATACTTCAATAATCTACCCGTCGGACCGACAAAGAAAAATAAGTCGTTAAACCTGTATATCGGTCTTGGGATGAGCCGTGGCATTATCCACTGCAGGCATACAAAAATCATGCGGCTTCGTCTGAGCATCGTAAGACTGGAACACCCCCAAACTTTGATTAACGCCTTGAGGATTAATATTATCAATGTTCGCTGCCTCTTCATCTACTTCAGCCCAAATCGTAAATCCCACAAAAGGTGTTGGTCCTTGGCCGCTGTCTACACCCTGGAGAGACACTGAAATGAATCGGCTATTTTATTGTCATAATACCTGTCGGACTAATTAACCTATAATTAAGTATTTTGATTACGTTCACAAAGTTGTGTCAGAAATGTAGACAAATTACTAACGAGGTAATCCCATACAAAAATTTATATTGGACCATCAAAAATTGGATCATCAAAAATCGGATCATCAGAAGATTTAAAAATAACTGGAAGTCTGCGTCGAAATAAACGAAATGGCGTTATATTTTTCCCTTGACTTTTATTTACTATCTTAAAACAATATATTTAATTAGAACCTAATTAAAAAGCTTAAAACTACAATAATAGTTTACGACCTAAAAATATTATCTCGAGCACCTTCGTGCTTCGGAAGGCATATTAAGCCGTTAGCCCCGGCTGCATCTGCAATCCCATTCCCCTTATTCGATGTCATCCTCAGGGAAGGTCTAAACCCCAACAGTGGAGACGTTAATAGGCTGGTCATGATAATGATGATGAGTTATCTTAAAGGCGGTTCTATAATTTTAAAAAAATTAGTCTGTTAAAACATTACTTTTTATTGTTCTCAATGAAATTCATATAAAAAACTAACCAGTGTAAAGTTCTCCAGGTAAAAAAAGATCGGGTTCGCCGGCTATTCCAAGACGGTAAAAAGCATCAGCCGGTTGCGCGTGCGCTGGTGCACGGTCGCATGCCGGCGACGGAACTGTGCTGTCCATGGCTAAGTTCAGCCTAACCGACGAAAGACACAACACTAGAATGGGCAGCATATTACTTTGTGACTCTTGAAAAGTTTTCAATAAAAGCATGAATGGGCCCATATTCCACATGCTATCACTTGACAGTACGATCACCAACTGCTTAAATGTTATGGAAGATACTTTTGACTCTGATGACAATAAAGTAAGACTTTATTTAAATATTTTATTATCTATAATGGTTCAAACCCATACAAAAAATGTTAATACTTTGTTATTTTATCTAAATATTTTTAGACAGCTAAAATATTTTTCTTTTTCAATAAAATATCAAAAGACATTTTAGTATTTCCAAAATAGATTTCAACAAATTTATACGTCGGTTGTAGGTTATTTATTTATAATAATATAGTGTCGGAAGCAACTAATGCAATGCAATAGCCCAATAAAAATTGTCTCATGTTTATTACAAAACAAACTCATGAAAACTAGAACAATGCAGCAGCAAGACGAAATTTATTACAACGTCAAAATATTGAATCAATACATAAATAAATCAATTAAAAAAATACACTTTAAATTTTTAAAACTGTCTGCCTAAATATAGTTTGAATAACATTTCAAAATTGATTTATTTCACTTTTCATAACCCTAAATTTTATTATTGAAGCCGTCATATTTGACCTATTGTGTGTACCAACATACTCGAGTAATATGTATCGGAAATTGCTATTCTATAATCAGAAAAGCTCTACCCCGAGTAGTTTTCAATTTATTATCTACCTTAACAATTTTTTTACATTATGCATTACTTAGAATACCGATTATTTTCTAACGCATTGAATATACTTGCGAAGGTATCATATTTTGTTAATAATTAATAGCGATCATCATAACGAGCGTAGACGTCCGCTCGCCCAAAGCACCCGACGGGGACTGGATTGAATTAATCTATGGGAACAGGGAAACGGGACGGGAGGAGGTGGCGGGAGATTAATAAACAACCCACCCCTTGTTAACATACTCTCCTCTATACCTGGTTAGTAAGTAATCTGTGAAATTAAATTAAAGAATATAAATATAGGGTTAGATCCAATAGCAGTAAGGTTTGATATCAGAAAAATAACATATATATAATTTCAATGTTTTATTTTGGCATAAATTACTTATTAACTGTCTAAATAAATACTCTAAATATAACTTTACACTTTATTATATTACTTTATATATTATTATAAGACTATTCTATAGCTACATATCTATATCTGGAAGTATGAAATAACAGATTTTATGATTAAATCTGACATTAAAATATTATTTTTAGAAAAGACAAGTATAAAAGAGAAAATAGCATTTACTATTTTTTTTATAATTTACTATTTAAGTTTATGATCACAACTTTGTTCAAATATGCCTAATCATAAAAATATCCGAATAATATTCTTAAAGTACTTACATTATAAAAATAGTACACAAAAACTTCTAAATAATAACAATATTTAATTTAAAAAAAAAATAATTGGTTATAATTACGGTTATTTATTGTACCTATTGGTCGACTTGCCCTTTAATGAAATGAAATTGAATGATGCCATTCAATTAAAGGACTAGTCGCCCAATTGGTCGGCTGATTATACCACTTGGCTGCGACATGTACACAAAAGCTTGACTCTATGCACAGAACAGATGCATATAGTAAAAGATGTCAATAAAACAAAAACAATGCATTCGAACGATCGATTACGAAATGAAAATATATAAATGAGCTAAGAACAGTGCCATCTAGGCATTCGATTTATAATTAATAGGCATATCTTTATAACTAATCTGACAACTGTAGCCACAGTGGCTTTATACAAAGGCAGATCGTGTTTTAAGTCACGTGACAAGCCGACAAAAAATCACGACTTTTAATTTCAAAATAATCGTGCGATTTCAAGACTCAAAATCAGAATGTATGTTATGATGTAAATTTTAGTTTTTGTGCAATTACGCGACTTATTTTTCACTACCCTATTAGCAGTCTGGACGAAAGAGGATTCACGACGCGTTATTTGTTATATTATACCTACTGTACTTGTATTTTATCATAAGAAACAATAAGAACAGAAATATATCAAACGGTTCACGATATGTTATTTGTTATATATATTTTTTTACTCTTAAAACATACAGCATAGCATAGTCAACATATGTCAATACTTAACAAAATTAACAAAAATAAGACTAGTAAAATCTATACCAATCTCCTTCAATTTGACATTTGAAAGATATCACAAACTTCACACTACATGTGATCGCGACTTTTTTTTTCAAGATATTGAATGACGCATATTCACTTTCGTCTAAAACATTTAATATAAACGAAATGTCGAGTTTAAAGATAATAGATTATTAATTTTAGAAATAATAACATAATATTAGTTTTAAAAATATTAAATTTTGAAAAGTACCGATTTTTCCTCAATTTCTTACATAACATTTCGCTTGGCAATACTTCTGCGCTGTAAATCTGTGACACAATTTAATCCAAAACAGCTTGTCTAGCAGTTTACATAGAGGTCTTTGCACACATCAAACATTTCAGCGAAACATGTACACAACTTCCATTCCCATTTTTATCCCTTTATTTGCTGTTTTTCGCGATAAAATATATCTTATGTCTACTGCATATGATATAGCTTCCCGCAGGTAAAAGGATTTTTAAAATCGGTGCATTAGAACGAATAGGTCGTTGCAAACAAACAGCAATCAAATCTCTCGTGTTTATAATATAGACTAAATTGTTTCTATAGAATTTTCATAGTCCTAAAATCTGACCAACGCTACAAACTAGTTTGTTTCTAAATGATTATTTTAAAACTTGTACAGCGGTTGGTTTATTACAAACCTACAAAAGACTGAAGATTAATAAAAAACTGAGATCCTTATTTTATTTTACTAATCATACAATTGTTATAAATAATATAATAAAAAATAAATTTATAATCAAAAACTTACTATCAACATGATAACTTAGTTTCACATTCTTCACAAATAAATCTCAAAATTATTTTCAAATAGCTTTTTGTATTTCTCAAAATTTCATTCCTAAGCTAACAAAAATATATAATAAATTATATTAAAATATAATAAAACAAAAAAATATATTAAAATAATAAATAAATTAATATTCTTTAAAATAAATATTTAACATCACTAATCATATTCACAATCAGACACAAAACAGAGTAGAAAGTTTTCATTATTTACATTGAGCCAACTATATTTTTTAGAAAATGACTAACAATCCAAAGTTTACAATTAATTGTAATAAATATTTATCCAATTAATTTAAAGATATTTCCGATGCGATAGGTACTATATCAAAAGCAATCAAACCAAATAATGACTGTTGCCTACTGCCAGAGTTCATGAACGGCGTCACAATACGTAGTATTTTACTCTTCAGAAATGCTGTGATTTTAAAACCCTGTCCAATAACTAAGAGTGTATTACATACGTTCAGTTTTACATTACTCGTTGGTAATTAATAGTGTTACAAATAAATTAAATGTTAGTAGCAATGAACCTGAAATCGCGTCTGAATTCGCCAATTCTGGATAAGGTCTAAGATTGCGGACGTGTTGGCGCGTCCCTCAGTTGCAGCACGTGCTCCACAGGCTGCGGACGACCGTCGGGGCCAACGCGCGCCGGCTTCACAACACCAGACGATACCATTTTATCGAACAAATCCACCAGTTTCATCGCCTCATGTTCTTTCTGATGAACAAGAATTATATTTAAGAAAACGCTTACCGTAATGAACTCACATAGAATTTTTGAGCTATAATGTTTGTAATAAACTGACAGAAAACACTATTGCAGCTGATAATATTATACAGTTTAAAAACAACAAGAACTAAAAAAACTCATATTACATATACGTTATAAGAATATCAGATATTTCAACTGTCGACTTGAGTTACATTAATAATCTATACTAAAATTATAAACCTGAAGAGTTTGTTTGTTTGAACGCGCTAATCTCAGGAACTACTGGTTCGAATTGAAAAATTCCTTTTGTGTTGAATAGACCATTTATCGAGAAAGGCTTTAGGCTATATAACATCACGCTGCAACTATTAGGAGCGAAGAAATAATGGAAAACGCGGACGAAGTCGCTGGCGGCCACTAGTAATGAAATAAGTTTTGAACAGACTCTAAATCGCGTATAGGTACACCAGCAACCTTAACTATATAGCCAACATCATAAACAAAAACCTTTGATCAACGAATTTTAACGTATCTCAATACTATGATCAATAATTAATTAGAAAATAGATTCTTTTTTTTTCAATATTTTGTTGTAGGTATTTAACATTTATATATCTATGTTGTATAAAGACGTTGATTGCTTAACGAATATACATTTGGGACCAGACTCGACGCAGATAGTCTTAAACTACGCGAGCTAAGTCATCACTCATCCCTGAGAAATACAAAATAAAGTTTTTTTTTTATCATTGCAACTTGCCAAGTGTATCAGAAACAGTCAGTCAACCACTCAACCACAACATATAAAAAACGAAGAGTAAATTTCAATAAAAAAATCTAAATAGCATAGGTTAAAGATATGGATAATGTGAGTGACTAACTATACTCTTTGGACAATTCGTACCGGAATTGCGAATTAAAAATATAAACCAAGTAGAGAAAGGATTTTAATGCAAAATCATAATATATAATTCAATATCATCTTATATAATATCTTACTCACCCGCTTTTGAAGCACGAATAATAAAAGAAAAGAAGCGTTTATGTGGCATTAAATACAAAATAATATAATATACCAAAACACAGTCATAAATTGCTAGGACTGTATATTCCGTCTACTGAAAAATTGTTAGTTAATCATCCCGTGTACACTACATTTTGATAGACTAAATAATCTGATATATTTGTCGAAGTCATGTGTTGTCTGTAATATGTAAGTGCACCTACTTTAGATAAATTATAACGAGTGTGCCTCTACTGAGTATGAGCCAAAGCAACATTTGCTACGGCACTAATTTTCAGAGGCTGTCAGCAGTCAATAAGTAACATTTTCCCCTCTTTTAAAGTTATTATTGATGTACAGTCCACAGCAACAGTTAAAGTTCTTTAATTAATTTCAACCCTTAACGCATTAATGGTAAAGTTGAAAATTTAACATATTATGATAACCTGACGTACAACCGCGTGTAATTTTAAAGACTACATATATTATAAATTAAAACGAATTATAAAATATCGTAGAACGAAAGTTGTTGTTTTGGTGACGGACTAGTCCTGGAAGTTATTGGTACAACTACGCTGTATAAACTGTCTATCGAATGAAGTGTTTCTAAGAATGTCATTTAAACATATTTTAGTTTAGATAAAAACTAAAATATGTTTAAATGACATTCTTGTGTCTTGTAATTGATCACTCGGTGCAGTGTAATTGAGATGTATTCTAGTTGCCTTTATAGAACACTAGAGAACAAAAACTAGAGGCCTTCTTAGGCGAAAGTTACTTAATGTTAAATCGGAAACGAAAAGCTAAAAATAGATTATTAACATATGTCAAGTGAACTAAAAAGTTTTTAAATTATTAACTACATTGTATCAATAGGAAAAAGAATTAGAGATGAGATTTTCAAAGTAATTTGCGGGTCAATTCATTTTATAAATGGGGTTGGTAATCCCTATTCTAGACAGTCTCCAAGGTTTACATTTTAAAACTATCAATGTAAAGTAGATTATCTACTTATGTTAGATTGTATATCCAACCACACAACATGATATCATACTTATTTATATGTATAGATTTTCAACCACAAAATCAGTGCATTGTTACGCCACAAGCGACAACGCGTAATCCTATTACAATACTATACATTAGACTGATCAATAAAGCTAATTAGTGTAAGTGTTGTAAGGTTTGAATTTGTAACGAGCATTTAAGTACTTCATACAACTTAGGCATACCATACATCAATTAAGTATATGCAAATTTATATTATTATCATACCTTGACAAAATACGGATTAGATTATGTTGATTTTTCAGCACATTATAATTTCAAAGATATTTTAATTTAAATATAAATGTTAAACTTGTTATGTGCCTAAAAAATAGATGATATATAGACATATCCTGAACATATCTACTAAAAAAAATCTAGTGGCTGGATGGAGGTTGCTGGTGGATTCGTACTGAAACTAGAAATAATATCGCACGCAATGGAGACTGAAGATTGAACGTACAATTTTTAAAATTGCGCCCGGGTCTACAGTGTTAGGGGCCTTCAAATGGCAGCAGTCATCCGCCAAAATCATAATAATAAAAAAAAAGTATGAGCAGGGAGGGGAGGACAATATCAAGATTGTCTCGGGTCACGGTGATACCACATCACGTTATTCGTTATTCTATGATACGAAGTATTGTGGTACCTTCGTTATTCTATAATACGAAGTGTTTAGCTACTCATCTTTGAATCGGAGCAATGTATGTGACGTTGTCTAATATTTTTTTAATTTATTTACTAGTTAACCCAACAGACCTGTCTTAATTACGAATATTGAATTCGAACAGATTTCTTATATGCTCTTTGCATAATATTTGCAGAATACATTCTGTCAATACGATTTATATTATCCAAAGCACTAAGATTATACGGTGGTTAAATATTCTTTGATTTTTCCACATAATTTTCTTATTTTTTTTTTTCTTTCATAAGAACCTTCTAACGATAACTAACACAACAAAAAAAATTGCGTTATCAGTCCAGCCGCTCAAATGTGTGATGGCGTTTCATCATATTATGCCATTTCAACTAAATTACATATAGACCGGTCAAATTGCAAACCCTAAATTATATATACAAAAATTAAGATAAGGTCAAATTGTAAGCTTTCCTTTTATAGAAGCCGGTTAAGAAAAAAAAATCACCTGTTCATCAGACATGCCCTCGAACGGGTTGGGTCTTGGCGGACGCGTGCACCCCACCACAGGGTCTATGTGCGGCTCCGCGTCCCTGTACTCGTCCGTGTCGGAGTCGTCGCTGCTGGACGAGTAGTCCGCGCCCCGCCCGCCGCCCAGCAGACCCTTCTGCGCCAGGTGCCCGGCCGCGTTACCGAAACCGGTGTACTTAACCATGCGACCCACTGCATTACAATAAACCAGATTTAAACTAAAATTTAACGCATGTAAATCTAGCAAATGTAAAAGTATTTTCGTTATGGCGTGCAATCAACAGTATCTCCGAGACGATCGCTGTGTCAAAGCGTCACTATTGCGCAGATAGTGTCGCGAAAGTAGTTTCGCCATGTAAACGGAGTTGAAATTTATCAAAATATGCACATCGCACGAAATTGTGAAAATGTACATTTATCCATGCAACTGCAAATTAATAAAATAAAAGTAGTTTCATGCAACTACTTCATTCCGTAATGTAAATCAGACTTTACTGTTATGCTAGTTTTATTTGATACATATATATCATTATATTAGGTTCATAAAACTTGAAACATATTTTAAAAATATGTTACCAAATAAATTCAGGACATTTATTGTATCATCTGCATGTACTAACTACTGGGCAAATTATTATATATCTTTAAATTTTTTTCTATAAATATCAATACAGTATGATGTAATGATTAAGATGAGTCTTTAAAATATTTTTCTGTTAAAGTTGATGTGGAAATACTATACTAAAAATTGCAAACCTTTTTCCTTGCAAAGAATAAATATAAATTCTGCAACCAAATCTCGTATATTGGTAACCGGCGTCGTTAAAAGTCTGCATAGCATATTGCGCAATGTGTCGCCTTTCTCTGGAGGAGACGAGACATCCCGAAGCGGCGGTAACACAACCTGACGCAGATATTTCCTGTGAGCGCGACACGCGCGTACACTTTTCAACATCACCGATATGATCGGTGAAAGTTCATCGAACTGCCGCTCAGTTGTCTATGAATTGAAACAAAATTAGGCCTTGCAGTTTCAAAAACTTTAAAATTTCACAAGTATAACAATACTTACAGTTGATACAGACAGGCGATATTTTAACAATTCAACCAAAGATTGCAAAGCATCCATATTTTTACCATCATACTCATATTGGCAATTTTTGTCTTTACCCAGAATTGGAGTCAAATCCTCATAAAACTTCAAAGGAACACTAAAAAATAATATAAAATACAATATTTTACAAATAAAATACAAATAAAATAAAATACAAATACAAATAAAATACAAATAAAATACAATTTAAAGTTTTATTTTTATTTTTTCTTACAAAAGCTTTATTAATTATGATAATAATAATATAATTAAAAATAATTATTAATAATAATAATAAACATCTCACCTAGTAAGTAAGTTACCAACATTACTGCGTAACTCCATCAATTTAGTTTCATTAGTGGTGGCTGCACACAGCAAAGAACTTAAAATTGGCATGAGTTTCATATACATGGCCTCATCACTCTCATTTAGGGACTCAGAGCTCACAATCAAATTAAACTGTACTTTGAGAATTTCACACACTATCGCTTGTTGGTTATCCTGTAACATATAAACATTAAGTCATCCTAAATTATGATAAATACCTTTTTAGGAAAATGACATTCTAGTACTTCTTAGTACATAAAATATCAAACATAAAAGGTAATTAACTCAAAGATACTTAAGAATTATCAATAATATATATACCTGTAGAAAAGTACAATGCACTTTTTTTGAGTCACCTTTTTCAGAATCAAACTTGTCATCAGTCATTGGAGTAGCTTCTTTGAGTAATTCATTGAGACAACTTATTAAGTAATCCATGCCATGCAGTTCACAATATACTTTCCTTTTGATGTCAGGTCTGAATGCAGTTAAAATGAAAAGCAATTTCATATCATAAAGCATTATTTCATCCTTAAAAGGAACATCTTTATAAACTCTAAGCCTGCCGATTAATGCTTGGGCGATACTAGTATTGGCACATAAGTTTCTAGCTTCTTCACTGTTAAATGCTGAGTTACAAAGACACTTTAAAGCTTCAAGTGTTATTTCTTTTCTTGGCATATCCGCCAGTGGAAGAGATCCACTTTCAAGTTCCACATACTCGTATAAGCCAGCTTTCTCCACCAGAGTATATATCCATTTCTCACAAAAAAGTTTATCTAAGTCACATTTATCACGACTGTAAATAAATAATTGTATTATAAGATACAGATACACGAGCCTTGCCAATAGATGAAATCACATCAAATCAAATAAGGAGAATAGGCCATGACCCTCATTGCAGGGTCAGTGTGAATTGGGAGGTGTTAACTGCTGAAGATGCAGCTGAGGGTAAAGGCATCACATGCTTTCCAATTCAAAAAGAAATATAGATAATGATTAATAATAAAAATATTCAGTTGAAACAATTAGGTCAAAAGTAAAATTAAATTACCACTAGGCTAAACTTTAATACAGTGTAAAGGGTATTTCAGCTATTGCAAAGATATAGTATATTTAAAGAGATATATCTCCTTACCCACCTCAAAATCCTTACTGCAGATAAACACAAATGATGTATGGGTTCAAAGTCTTTTCTTTGTAAAAGTTGAAATAATGCAGTCCAAACCAACAACTTAGTATTTTTGGTCATAATTGGAAATTTAAAAATCTCCTCATTCTGTAAATTATATATGATTTAGAGTTAATAATAAAGAGGAATAAATTCAATTTCTTCCATACATCTCTTTTATGATTTTTCCCAATATCTAGTTGCCTATATCTTTTCCAAAACTAGTAATTTTTTTTTTTGTTATTATTGAAACTATTATATTCTATTTAAATCCTTCCTTCCTTTATATATCTAACAATTACAAACACCGTTGACTTTTATTTAACAAATCCTTAGTTCTTTAAATATAATATTATCAAATATTTACAATTACTGTGAGAGCACTAGAAAGTGAGCATTCTGCAAATTACTTACATTTCTGATAAATTGTTGTACAACTTTTTCGACATCATCTAAAACTTGACTCGTACTAAGGATTTCAATATCTTCCTCATTCATCTTGAACTTGCTTTACTTTATGTACGTCTTTTTTGCACAAAATTATATATCTTAATCAACAATTGCACAAAACTGCTCAAATAATGTAATCCACAGATTAAGAATATGTAGCATGTAATCTGTCAATGTCACTGTATTTTTTTATTAAAAGTTTACGGCTTTGGAAGCATCCATACACCCACTTCATTCTCACATTCACTATAAGTATAAAAATACTGAAATTTGAAATGTTCGAAACTTTTTGTATCAATACACAAATACGAAAAAGTACAAATAGAATAGGAGTTGTTAACTGAGTTATAAAAACTAATTTACTTTTAAACATGAAAGAAAACCGGAAGAGTTGTCATGGAGAAATCTATAACATACCGTAGCGACATCTAGTTTCATTTCAGGAACAATTTTTTTTTTAAATACTCCCTCATTGCGATCGACGCTGGTCTACTTTAAAGCCTTATGTGATTATCAAAATGCTAATTTAACTATTTAGTGCATGTATTTATCTTTCCCCTTTTTATAATGAAGTGATTGTAAAGATAATAAGTAGCAAAAATGGCAAGAACCCGGTGCCCTTAAAACAATAAAAAAACATACATATATATTTTACTCTTTGCTGCTGTCATATAAAAAAACCAGGCAGTCGATTTTCTATACTGAGTTTTGAATAAATAATCGACTGAAAATTATAGAATAAATATTTTCGATATCGCCCCCAAAATGGCTTCATTAGCTTTAACGGGGCATTTTGCTTCTAAAATAATACGTAAGATTTTCCAACTAGCTAAATTTGTAAACATTCATATCCACATCTCTTACATAATTGAAATCCTGTCCTTAGAAGTTCAATAAAATTCTCTAATAAAAACCTTTTAAAAGATAAAACATACTATAAAATTGTCTTTGAACTTCGAGGCTACGTTTATTTTCAGCTAAACATGGAGCTATGGGCATTGTTTACGTCAACTCTGCCCATTACAGTTCAGAAGTCAAGCCGAATTTAGCTGCTTACAAGCGAGGTACAGGTGGACGTAGCAGTTTCAACGGCATTGTAGCAACCGTCTTCGGCTGTACTGGCTTTGTTGGTAGATATGTGTGCAATAAACTTGGAAAAATAGGCACTCAGGTAAACACATACTACTATAATAGCCCTACAGTACCAGTGTTTTTCTTTTTATTTATTTTATACTTCAATCATCTGTAGGATTTTACGGGCACAAAATACATAGATTACCTATAAAGGTCATCTATCAAACCATAAAAAACTGTATATTTTAAATTAGTTTTCTTTGTTCTTATCAAATATGAGTTTGACACTTAATTTTCTAGATGATACTTCCATACAGATGTGATTTTTATGATGCTCAACGTCTGAAAGTTTGTGGAGACTTAGGACAAGTACTCTTCACTCCATTTGATATACGAGATGAAGAATCTATTGCAAAAGCAGTACGTTATTCCAATGTTGTCATCAACCTTGTTGGAAGGGACTATGAAACTAAGAATTTTAAATACAAGGATGTACATGTAGATGGTCCTCGTCGCATTGCAAGGTAAAAATATATCATACTACATTTTTTTATATATTTCTTACATTAATTTAATTAAACTTGATATGATAAAAAATATCTTTTCAGAATCTGTCGTGAAATGGGAGTGGAAAGATTAATTCATCTTTCTTATCTGAATGCTTCAGAGAATCCCAAACCATTAGTTCTTAGTAAACCATCCATGTTTAAGATAAGTAAATACCAAGGAGAGTGTGCAGTTAAGGAAGAATTCCCAACAGCTACAATAATCCGTGCTTCAGATATCTATGGTTCAGAAGATAGGTTCCTAAGGCAAGAATTTAATATTTTCATTATAGCCATACAATGTACAGTCATTTCTATGATAATAATTATTTATGAAATATATATTTGAGATAAGTATCTAAATTCAATAGACTTCTCGATTTTTCATTCAACACTTAACTGATGGCCAGTAAAAGTTTGACTAAACTGTAAATTATTGTTTTTCTTCTTTTTATTGAAATGTTTTATCAAAACATGTTCTCACCATACACCAGCACACCAAGTTACAACAAAGTGATGAAGTTCTACAAATAATACATAACATTTAAAATCAAGTAGAGAAATTTATGTATGTATTTTATATTCTATTGATTTTAAGTATAATCAATTTGTACTAATATCATTATAGGACTTTTGCATCTGGCTGGAGAATCCATAGTCAATGGCTACCCTTATACAAAAACGGAATGGCTACAATTAAACAGCCTGTGTTTGTATCTGATGTGGCACAAGGTATTGTCAATGCTGCACGTGATCCTGATACTAGATGTCAAATCTATCAGGCTATTGGGTATGTACAATAAACCTATACAATATATAACTGCAGCTACATATTTAAAAACAACGTAGATGTAAGAATAGTATCTTGTAATACTTATCCTTCATAATACACAAACTGTTCAAATTTATTAAATAATATAAGCTCACACTGCTAAGCTTCTCCTAAATTTTATAATTGGTCAATGTTAATTAAGTCCCTATTCTTATTAGACAATACTGATTCCAGACCAAAAAGATACCTGTTGGCAGACCTTGTTGACTGGTTCTTCAACCTCATGCGCAAAGACAAAGAAAATTGGGGCTTCAGACGTTATGACATGAAATATGATCCTATCTTTCCTCTCAAAGTTGCTCTGGTGAATAAGATTTCGCCAGCTTACCCCTTTGGAAATTTACACTGGGAAGCTATTGAAAAGGTAAATTATTATATCATTATTTTTAATTATTGAAAAACATGGACCAGGTGATTAATGCGGGCATTATTAATAATGTGTGGGCATTATTAATAATGTGCGGGCATTATTAATAATGTGCGAGCATTATGAATAATGTGTAGCTCTATCGCGCTAATTGATTCATTTCTAATTATAAACTTCATTATTTATCACATTGCACAGTCAAAACTTCTCTAAAAGACAAAAGATATGCTACGTACATATGAAATCTTTGGTTTTAATTTTATGTTTTAAATTCATAAACTAGTGGATCCTTAATGTATAAAGTCCTAGCTAATTAATCCAAATAATAAAACTGATATTTTAAATTTGATTAACATTTAGTTTAGTTTAAGTGATATCATTTATGTCCTTGGGCAATATAGAAGTAATAAGTAAATTAAAAGTAAAAAATTGTAATTAAATATGATTGTATAGTTTACTGCACAAAAGGCAAGGAATAATGTGTTTAATGCCCAGTCAGTTTCATTATTTGAATAATTATGAAATTGCTCTCTCATAATAGGCATTTTTCATAATGACTGAGCATTATGTATAATGCTTGATTTATCACTTAGTCCTTACCTTATACATAAATTTTGTGATTATAAAAATATATAACATTGTGATTTTTTTTAGATTTTAAATCACTTTGTCCCTGGTACATTTATTCCATCTCAGAGTACATTTACAGTGTAGCATTGTGAATTTGAAATTGATCAAATATAATAATTTACTAATCCTACTACTAATACTACTAAAAACTTAAGACTATTATTAAGTGTTAATGTGTATACAAAGTAATTCCTGCTTTTCACGTCATGCTTGTACGGTATTTTTTTTTTATATTGAAAATCTGCGTTCTATAGACTGAAATGCTGATATTAAACCATTTTTTTTTTCAGGAAGCTACCACTGATGTAGTTCAAAGTGGCGTACCGACTTTAGAAGACTTGGGCGTGTGCCTCACCCACATGGAAGAGCAAGTGCCATGGGAACTAAAGCCTTTCAGAGCCTATCAATACTACATGGATAAAGTTGGGGAATTTCCCAAGCCTGATCCACCCATACCCCAACCATGCTAAATTATTGTAATTGAAATTATGAATACATCCAATATTACAATGATGTCTATGTAACTTCTTTGTAGAATAGTTTCGAAATGTCTTACTTCATGAAACATGTAGTAGCATTTTTATTTATGGATGGAAATTATCCTTTTTGGCGATCACCACATATTGTATTTTATGTAATTTAATAAAAAGCCTTATTATTATAAATTTTTTGAAAGTTAAGCTATAATGGTTGATTTGTTTCAAATCAGTAATTTATGGTTTTGCCATTTTTTTCACTATCGCAATTAATCTAATTATGGTAATGGATACTGTTGATTAAAATTTTATATTAAAGGACAGGAAAAAAATATGATGTCAAAATATATATGCGTTAGATATATAGAATAAATTATCTTAATTGTTTTATAAATATAACTTTATTTGAGTTTTTATAGTGATCCAAAAATGCGAATGATGTAGTTTTACGAATGCGTTAGAATATGTTATCGTTGAAAACTTTAATAAAGGTTACAATCAGTTTCATTGCGGCCTGCGATTCTGTAAAGCGGCATCCCCTCAGTCTTGAATTGGTAATAACATTTCGTGGCATTAGTGAAGTAAGTTTGGATAAGACAGGAATAAAATATCAGAGACACATGTAATCAACAATTTTGTTTTGTATTTTTATACAAAAAAATGGAATCGATTGAATTTTTTCACTTAATGACGTGAATTCGGACACATTAGTGAATTCTGGTTTGGATTTTTACAGAAAATTTTTAAGAGGTGATATGGATAGGAACAGAGGATGGCGAATTGCTTGCCAAACATTGTTTTTAACCAATTATTTACTCGCGAACTATTACATAGTGAGAAATATACTTATGAAAGCCCTACTTCAATAGCACTCTCTTGAATAACCCTGACTTTAATAGCACTTTTTTCATAACCCCAACTTTTATGAAGTCGCTTGTAATAAAAATATTATTTCTCACTTTTCAACAGTTTGTAGATGGTTATATTTTTTTTTATTAAAAAAAAAATGTGATTTTGATTTTTTTATTTGAATTTCGATAAAATTTATATGGTTAATAAATATGCTGTTTTATAAAAAAAATATTCAAAATCAAATTTCAAATTGACTGATTAATCACATAACAAACCCACAATATAAAATAACAAAATCGTTATTGTATGTAGAATAGGCGAATTGACGCTTGTGGGCGATATAGAAACTAGATGTCGCCACAGTACTTTCTTGATTTCTCCATGAGAACTCTTCATATTTTCATTCATGTGTAAAAGTAAATTAGTTTTCAATAAACAACTCGTATTCTATTTGTATTAATATCTAAGTTTCGAACTTTGCAAATTTCAATTTTTTTATGTTAATTAAAATGAACGGAATTGACTATCTTTGGTCCATTCGTTTCCTGCAAAAATTAACTTTTGGTAGGGTCGCCACCTAGTGAAAATGTTATATAGTGCTTTCTTATTTTTTAAATACTTTTTCATTTAACATGGGAAAATAAACCGGCTTGTGATCAACTAGCAAAATACACAGAATTCTTCGCTCTCAAAATACACAGAATACCTTAACGCTCCATTCGTTTCCTGCAAAAAACCACTTAACCCTCACGCTAACGTTTTAAATATTACTATTTCACTCACAAATACAAACGTTTGCATCGGTTAATTCTATTACGATGCGGTACGGTTTCATATCCCATATCTATAAATATCGGATATCAAGCGAGATACCGAATCCAACGATTCGCATCAATGCAGCAATATAGTGAAAAAAAATACCTATAGTTTCTGCGCATCGATATCGGATAATATATATAAGATTTGTATCGCGGCAATTTTCCCTATTAGTCAATTTAGGTTTGTACAATTTAAAGGAGCTTGGTGGCGTAGTGGATAAGCGCTGATGGCCGTTGGGGCAGAAGAATTCTGGAGTGGCGACCACGTACCGGACGACGTTCAGTGGGTAGGCCTCCCACCACGTGGACCGACAATCTTATCAAGGGTGCGGGAAGCCGCTGGATGCATACAGCGCAGGACCGATCGTCGTGGAAATCTATAGGGGAGGCCTATGCTCAGCAGTGGGCGTCTTAGTGATGATAATGATGATGATATTTAAAAGGTTTTAATAACATCAAGAAATTACGTTTTAGAGGCGACTCAATTTTTCCTTCCGGACCCAAGGCTCCCCTGGAGGACACCCCTAGGGAGTAGGCCATGGGAACTTCAATTCGGACCCATGGCACCCCTAGTTTAATTGGTGCAGTGCTCTTGAATGCAATAATCTATATTACCTAGTAATATATTATGAATTCATCTTTATCTCTAATGTGAAGAATAATGCTGCACATTAAAGAATATTTCGCTGATGATACATTTCGCAGTTGCCAGTCCATTTGCCCAGATGTATAGGGTTCATAGAGACATGAATAGTACTATTAAAAGTACTAATAGGAAGCCCTTACTTTTCGCTTTAATGACAGATCACAAGGAGCACAGTTATTACATCCCATATACTTACTAAGTCTGTGCATCCCGTTAAGCCTAATTAAATCGCAAATACCACAATGGGACCCCATCAAAGTACACTGTGACTACAAAACAGGCGCAATTAACGCGTTATTAGAAGTGTTTCCCAAAATCACGGTAAAAGGAAGCTACTATGGCGCGAAATATATGGCGAAAAGCCGAGTCCTTGGGGCACACAAAATCAAAGGCTGAAAGAAGAATTGTGGACCTAACAGCAGCTTTACCAATTCTTCTTTCTGAGAATATGCGAGAGGCCTTTGAATATGTCAAATCCGAATATATTGTCTATATGAATAAATTCATTAATTATACATATAGAAAGATTTTGGCTCAACGTACATTCACCTACGATTTTTAGTGTCTTTGGAGTCATAGGACGTATAAAGTTCTCAAAGGTTACCACTTCAAATTAAACAAATTGATCAATAAAAATACTGTTACTATGTGACGATGTGTTTACCAAATGTAATGCAGAATATCCACAATTTGTATGCAGTGCCTCATAAACGAAAACAAGCAGACATTAATAATGATGATTTATTAGTGTAAATTCTATTGCAATTTCTTAAACCACGAAATTACATTAGGTCACGCATTAGAAAAATTGCATTAAATAAATATTCATTTCATTCGGTGGTTTCATGGGAACTACTAAAATAGAAATTTTGATACCAATAGTACACTGTAGTATAGATTTTAAGACTGGGGTGCCATGGGAACGAATTAGAGTTCTCATGGCACCTCCAGGGGAGCCTTGGGTCCCAAAGGGAATTTTTCTATCCAGTAATTGCCTTACAAGCAGTATCCTCCACTAGATATTTCAATGTGACAATTCACACAAGACAGTTTAGTAAATGCTTGATTCTATATTCCTACCAATTAAGATTTCAATATCCATCTTCCAAGGAATAATAAAAAAAGGCAACATAATGTATAATTTTTATTAAACTTAATTAAGGCGCAGGCCTTCCTCGTCCAAAACCTCCTCTCTGGAACAAAAATAGATGCAAGCTCTAATAAATAATTATTGAAATTTATACTCTCTGGGATTCAGATACTATATGATAACATCAGAAGTCCCTCTGAGTTTGGTTTTAATTTTGATGAATTAAATCAAAATTCAATACTGATAATATGTTGAATGCATTTCGTTTAACTTGATCATCTAAACCCACACAATGTATCTAACTATACAGTATTGAATAATAAGGGCATTTTAATTGAATCACATATTAACTAAATTGAAGCCTATGTAACATGGCTGCTAGCATATAAAGATATCTATTAAAAGTATGTACTTGAAATTGCAAATAAGAGGTTATTCTTTCAGAGTGAAATGTTGATTAATATGTTTGCGATTCAAGAGTGGGAGGCATATAACATTTTATAATACAAAATATTAACTTTTCAACATATTCTTTATTATATAATAGACATTTGCCTTCCAAACAATGTACATACAATAGGGATGATGACTAATTTTTGTTTGTTTGTCCATCAGGTAGTGTTCAAAAATATTAAACACATATTTTTTTTCGTAATTATAAAATTACGGCGTTACATTGAGTTGAAATTTCATGTGACATCACGTTAGAGTACGTTTTCTACTCAACTGTGACGTAGTGAGCCCCCACTCCTCAACTTTAATGCCTGTTATCTAAGCTATTTCTTGTTAAATTGAACTAAAAAAAAATACATATCTAATATTTTTCTATTATCTGACTGACGGACTAAATAGAATCGCATTTTTTTTACCCAGTCATCATCCCTATTAGTCGATTATTATCTTGTACCGCAACTCATTTATTAGTTACAATATTTAATAGATAGGACTAATTATTTAACATTATTATAGATAGTTTGTTGTTTGTCTATTTGAGCAGCATTGACTTTGAGCATTGTATAACCATATTACCTATGTTGAATGTAGTAACAGTGACTGTAGACCAAAAGTACTTACGAATTCAACATCTGCAGAACCAGGGCCAACATCAGCCTTCTTATCATGAGGAGCCCCAGGCGTAGTAGGTGCACGGCGATACGCGGAACGGTCCTCTGCTGTACGAGCAGGAGCATCGGGCCGGCCAACAGTTCCACGACGTACTGTCTCAGTACGCACAGATCGCTTCAGTGTTGCTGGTACAATTTCGGGCGGTAAATGTAAGAATATGCGGAGGTATTCAATACCCTCGTTGGTTAGGTACCTACAAGAAATAATTTAGAAATAATATTAATATGTCAAGATGAGATGAAACTAATAAATACAAAAATCATATAAATTCATTCTATAGTTAACATTCCAAAAACGAAAATTTTAAAAAGTAATATTTAAATCCCAATAGCTGAATATTAAATGTAGTAATATGTATCATGCAAAATGAAGTCTCAATGCCAAAAAGACCAAAACTTAACTCACCAATAAAAATGTCTCCATGCAAATTGTTCCTTCACGTAGCCCCTAGATTTAAGAGACTGCATTGCTTTGATGACTTGGAGGTTGGGAATCTTTTCTAGATCCGGGTGTTTAGGCGCATGATAATCTTTTTTAGCTACCATAACACCTTCTTTAAAAAGGTATTCGTAGATAGCAACACGATTCTGTTTTGGCATCAACATTTTGAGTTAACCTGAAAACACTTTGAATCATTAGGTTATGAAATAAACCTAAGTTTACGAACTGAGTGAAAAATATTCACAATTTAAGAATGTCCAACAAAAATCTTTTCAAACGGAGTTAACACAAATCTCAAATTTCCTAAGATTTATCTAATAATGTAAGATACAAACAGCAAACTACCTTTTCGGCTATTTTGACAAATAAAAAGAAATAATTTTCGACGTCGCGTCAATGTCAAGTTTGGCGATTGACAGTTGACACATGACGTTGAGAATATTTTACCTTTAGATAAAAGACGAAGAAATGTTTGCTTAAAAGTCTTATGACAATATTGGATGCCTAATAGTCTTGCGATGGATTTGTTGATACTTTTTTATATAATATGTAAAGACGTATATTATCATATCCTTCTGACCATTGCACCCCACATTTTCCCTTTTCTTTGATTATTCTTATTATATTATATTAGAGATTGCTGTTAGCAATAAGGCCGCCTTTTGTGTACTCTGTATTGTAATTTCATTTTGTTTACCTGTCTGTATGTGTGCAATAAAGATTATATTATTATTGTTGGTTCACAAAAAAAGACTATCGAATAGATAGAGTTTGGCAAGCGAAACGTGACACCACCTATTTTTCCGTTTTCATATGGCAACAACATAGAACTGTCAGTTTGACACTACGTTAGACAATTCAAGAATATTGAATTTTGTTGTTTTTGCGAATTTGAACTTGTGTTTTTGGTTAAAAATTATGTCGAAGCCGATAAAAAGTTCATCGAGGAAACTTCTTTCCATCATGATTGACAAGTTTACTGAAGTGAAAACTGAATTAAATAAAAATTTCATGGAGAAATTACAACGATTAGATAAAGTTGTATCTTTTTTAGGTTAGTTTTGTATTATAATTTTGATACTTTCGTTTTAATTTTCTGTAATTAACTAAACAGATATTTTTTATAAAATATTGCTCTATTTCAGATAACTGTGATGGTGATATTCAACCAATAATGGAGGAGATAAATGCAATAAAAACTTTAGAAAAACAAGAAATGCTGAATTCGGAAACGCAGTACTTTCAAAAAATTTCTTCAATGACAGGTCTCTTTTCTTGTTTTGATTTAAGATAGATTGATAGTATTCCTATAATATTTACATAGGTTTTTTATGATGTATTGGTTTTTATTGTTGACATCCAATGATGTCATAAGAATGTTTTGTTTAACAAGGAAATTCACAGAATTCATGAAACTAATCAAACCATGTAATTGTTATACATGCTAAATATGCACATAAACTTAACTAAATTAAACATAAATTGCATTCATAGTTGAATAGGTATTTAAATTATTTTGATGTATGTGTCTATCATTATTTGCTTTTAAATACATTTAACATATCTTTGTTTCAAAGTGTTTAATCTTTTATAGATGTAAGTATAAGGACACTAAGAAGGATAAAAAATGAAGCATTAATTAATAAAGGAAAATGGGACACTCCTGGGAAAAAACGACCTCATCAACCAACAGTGTCTGCTTTAGATAATTTTGATTTAAGTGCAATTCGGAATAAAGTAAATGAATTTTACTGTGTGAAAAAAATTGTTCCAACATTAAGAAGCCTTCACAATGAATTAAAAGATGCAATAGGATTCAGTGGTAGCCGTGAGACTTTACGAAAAATTATGCTTAAGAATGGATTTTCTTTTAAAAGCAATGAAAATGAACGTTCTATGCTTATAGAAAAATACCAGATTTCTGCATGGAGGCACAAGTATTTGAGAGAAATAAATATAAAACGAAACGAAGGAAAGCAAATTGTGTACCTTGATGAAACTTATGTACATCAGAATTATAAAGTTAAAAAGTCTTGGCAAGGACCTTCAACAACTGGTGTCACTACAAAGATATCCTCTGGAAAACGGCATATTGTTGTGCATGCTGGATCTGAGGAAGGTTTTGTGCCTGGTGCATTATTAGTGTTCAGTAGTAAATCCAAATCTGCTGATTATCATGATGATATGAACTCATCGAACTTTATGAAATGGGTCAGAGAAAAATTAATACCAAATTTAAGTAAGCCCAGTGTAATTGTTATGGATAATGCCAGCTACCATATAAAACAAATCAATAAACCGCCTATAATGTCTAATACCAAAGCAGATATCCGTAAATGGCTTGTAAATAATGGAATACATTTTGAGGAATATCAGACAAAGGCAGAGTTAATGTGTTTGGTTAATGATAAGAAAACATTGCCTGTATATGAAGCTGAAGAGATTTTAAAAGAACATAATCATGAACTTTTATTGCTGCCACCGTATCATTGTGACTTAAACCCAATAGAGATGGTTTGGAGTCAAGCAAAAAGAAAAATTGCAAGCAGAAACATTGGAATACCAGGAAAGGAAATGGAAAACTTAATAATAGAGTGTTTTAACTTAATTACCCCTAGTGACTGGAAGAAATACACTGATCATGTTTTAAATGTCGAAAATGATTACAAATTAAAAGATGGCATTGTTGAAAACGAACTTGAAAAATTTATTATATCTGTTGGTGCAGACAGTAGTGAAGAGAGTGACTCTGATGATTCCTTGTCATTGTTATCAGGTGTAGAATATTTAGAAACAGATTTTGACTATGAATCAGACTAAAGTATTTTTAGTCTGATTCATAGTCAAAATCTTATCTTAAATTTTCTATTGTGATTAACATGATAATTTTGTGACACCTGTATTATGTAATTTATCCATGGCACTTAATTGTAACAAAAATAAATGTTTTTTTTATTGTAATCTGGTGTTTATATTGACTAATTTAATTTGATAGATAGTGGTTCTGGATCAGAGCAAAAGGTTGTGATGAAAATCCCTTAGGAGACATGTATGTGTTATGAACACATTATAAATATAAGGGCCAGAAATCAAAATTGGCTAACATCACATTTATTAAAAAAATGTGGCCAGAGTCGCCCATATTCATTACAAAAAAACAAAGAAGTCGTTGCAAAAAACACCCTTTTAATTAATGACAAATATGAATTTTTAATATTATAAGTGCTGTTAGCCAATAGGTATAACGAATGGGTTAAAAAAAAGATTCGATTTAGTCCGTCAGTCAGATAATAGAAAAATATTGGATACGTATTTTTTTTCGCTTTAATTTAACAACAAATGGCTTAAGAGGTACTATGCGACGACTTCAAATATGCTTTGCAACAATGTTACTTTAATACAGTTTATCGATACGAAATCAAGTGTCAAAATGGAGTCCAGTGGAGAATGCCGATATTGACATTTCGAAATTGCTCATCATTGATAGAGAATACGAAATAGTGATTTTGACACAATCAAAGTGTCTATTTTTTACGGTGATGACGATTCTTGGTTGTCAGTTGAGTTAGTGAATAGGCCTACTGATATGCTGTTAACTGTACAATTAAGAACAGTCACGCTTTAGTCAAATGTTCCAAAACAAATAATTTTAATTAATATCGAAATGTTAAGATTAAATATAATTAATAAAAGTATCAAAATTATTTTGCAGTACTACATTCAGTGTTTACTGCTTAAGAATTTTTGAAATTGCCGCCCTTTTCTTGTGACACGTTTCGCTTGCCAGACTCTAGATAGATTATTTTTAACCAAAATAAGCATCACAAAATAAGAATAAAAAAGTTGTAATAGTACACTACTCCAGGTACGTGCAATTTTTTCCTATTTTTATTCAGTGTCTATATTAAATTTCAAAATTTTGAGGCAGCTACTAACTTTACGACTATATAAGAGATATCATAGTAATATATTTATTTCATTTGTTTAGCACAGTAGCTCAATTTAGGAGTTCAAAAAATTTTATGAAATTCTTGCTCTGCTATTATGGATTTAGTTAAAAAGTTAAAGACGAGAAAGCCAAAATTTACCATTTTATGCAAAAATCACCGTTGAAATAAAATATGACATAACGTCACTTTAAACGAATGACAATTTTAATGGACGTTTGTGCAACTGTCAGTTAGTACTATAAAATAGGACAGAGTACTTCTAGCGGAAAAGCGAACCGAGCGAGATGTCAACTATGGCTATTTGCCCCTTTGTAAGAGGATCAGTTTTATAACTTTTTGTTACAAAAAATATATTTTTATTATTTATTTTTAGGCTTTTCGTGCAATTCGATAACGATGAGCGATATCACACAGACCGCGCCCTTATAATATGTATCGAGAATCGCAACATAAATAAGGCATTCATGGCTTATTATTCTTCATATTATTGAAATTTATTATTATAAATATGGCCTAAAACAGACCGTATGTTTTCTCCTGATATCAAAGAAAAAAGGAGAACTTTTTTTTTGTGTGATGGCTAGTACTTTATTCAAATTATCTCTAACCAAGCATAAAGTATATATTAATCGATATAGCGTAAATAAACCTACACATGATCATTTTATTTTATTTTTAGGCGCTGCAAAAATGCATCATTTGGTGGATATTTTATAATTTATGTAGCAACACATAAGTGCATTAAGAAAATCTATGACAACATTACGTTCCAATTCATGCTGTGAATTAATCTAATCTATTTGGACAATGTGGAATTTTTATTTTTATTTCCTATTAATTATTGATATTTCAGATCTCTAAGTGTCAAATACAGAGATAATTTAAAGAAATCGAAGCTCGTGATACAGAGTAAGCCTGGTTTGAGTCTATTCGGTGCTTGGCTTATTATAAAAAATACATAGTTAACAAATTCTTACTTCGATTTTCACGATATCGATATATGATTCGTCCACTGGGGAGGCTAAGTTAAAATGAGGTGCTTTGGGGTAATACACAAAACAGGCATTTCCTGAAAGTGACGAATTAACAACATATACAGCATTTTGTGTTCACACTATAAAAAAACAGGCTTTTACACTATAAAAAATCTTTTAATTTCAACAAACATATTGCTTTTTGTTTAATTTCATTATCGTAATTTCCCCGCTTTCGAAAGTACCCCAAAATACCCTACCAAAGGGTAGGCCGTGGACAAAGATCCCTTTGTCTTTGTTTTAATTTTCTGTGCTTTATTTTTTAGTGAGTTTTATGGCTGTGCATACTAGTATTTCAAGACAAACCGTACCAATTTTTTTATTTCTCTAAAACTGGGGAACTTTCAGGCTTGAAATTTTGATGAAAGATATAGGATTACGTCTAGGTGCTTTATAATTTTCTTTATAGTGTTTCGGTTTTTCGGAATAAGGTACCAAAAAAAAATCAACAGACAATGGCTGTATGGGCTAAGCTCTCTTCACCTGTATGGAACATATTTAGAAAACTAAATGTCTGCTTCATATTGCGTGGTTCCAAAGAGTAACTTTGTATTATTTTTCTCTTTGGAGTAAAACTATATGTTGTTTTCGAAATATTAATGTCCTTTGATTAATAAACTAGGAAGCAAAAACTCTTCTTTGTTTATGAAGAGCTAATGAAATTATTCTAATGGATTTTCAAAATAGGCCGGGTGGCAAAACTGGTGGAGGAGGAGTAGCATCATGGTCAGAAAGCAACAGAGATCGCCGCGAAAGACTTCGCCAACTTGCTTTAGAGACTATTGATCTGAACAAAGATCCATATTTTATGAAAAATCATCTAGGTTTGTCTAAGGATTTTAACTTTTTTATAACCTCTATTTAAATTGCTTACAAATTCAATTATTATATCAGCATCTTCTGAATATGGTTTTCAGGATCTTATGAATGTAAGCTTTGCCTCACGCTTCACAACAATGAAGGGAGTTATTTGGCTCACACTCAAGGAAAAAAACATCAAGCTAACTTAGCCAGAAGAGCTGCTAAGGAAGCTAAGGAAGCCCCGCAGCAACTAGCCCCAGAGAAGCCTAGAATTGAGCCTAAAAAATTTGTAAAAATTGGACGTCCAGGTTATAGAGTCACAAAGCAGAAGGATCCTGAAAATGGACAACAGAGCTTACTCTTCCAAGTTGATTATCCAGGTTTGTGGAGGTCCATTCTTCTTAGCTGACATCTGTATTTATGATACAATCAATTAAGTGGTGTCAATCATCCCATTGAATTAAAGATTGCTATTTATGTAGTCCTACAACAACTACTTTATCTTAACAATTAATTAATACTTATTTAATATTAAGGATTGTAATAAAAAAATATATTTGCTGCTTCTAATAATATTTCTACCATAGATATTAATACCTTGATATAGAAAAAAGGATTTACATCCTTTTAGGTAAAAACTATTTAGGCACAAACTTAATAGAGGCTTATTTGAAACTTAAATTGATAGAACTTAAAATTATAAACAGTACTACATTATTGTTTATAACCTTTCTTCTATTAAATGTCCATATGGCTTAATAGTGTTTTTACAATATAAATTGTTAGTATGAGACCTGAAATAACTTTATTCTGATACCTTGTTATAATATGAACATTGATTCAAAATAATAGTCAGTTTCTAAATCTACTTCAATTGAAACATTGAATGATATATAATACTCTGCACATCTGTATTTGTATGTAGAGAAAGATGTTTTACATTATATTCTTTCAGAAATTGCTGAAGGAGTGCAGCCTAGACACCGTTTCATGTCGGCATATGAACAGAAAATTGAGCCTCCAGATCGCAGGTGGCAGTACTTGCTGTTTGCAGCAGAACCATATGAGACCATTGCATTCAAAGTGCCAAGTCGTGAAGTAGAGAAGCATGATTCTAAATTTTGGACACATTGGAATAAGGATACCAAACAATTCTTTTTACAGTTTGCTTTTAAGATTGAACCTTTACGCATGCCACCTCCACCTCCAAAGATGTGGGAAACTCATGGTATGCGATTGCCACCACCTCCAGGTGCACCACTTATGGGTGTACCACCGCCACCCCCCTTGTTACCAGTACCACCACCACCGCCATCAATGTAAAATGGCATTATTTCATATATTAATAAACATATTTGCACATAACAATATTATTTTTCAAACTAATGACTGCAAGCACAGACAACCTCCAATAGATGCTGCATGCTACTGAACATAGGTATTATTGGAATTGTATGAACATACAAATTATTTATGGAACAAGGATGACAAACTCGAGAGACTTGGGAATCACTAGGGAGACTTGAAGATGAGATATGCTCATATATATCGCACTGTCAATCTCTCTCACCCATTTCTCAAGTCTGTCAGATATATCCACGCTAATGGGCTGGTGAAGCCAAGCATCAATGAATCTGCACTTATCGCTTTAATAAAAGTATTGATATACATATCCGAATACTCAGTTACAACCAAGTGTTCAATCTGTGAATATATGCATTGACAAGAAGACTTCTTTATAATAAAGAAGCAATTAGGTTAAGCATTTCAAATTCAAATATAAATTTTATTTTTATCTGATGGAATTAAAGTTATGGTGGACAATAAAGGTAACTTTATAAAAATTCAGCATACATTGTTGTCTTCTTAAAATCCAACCTCTTCTCTCATTACTAAATTAGTATATTTATTTAATTCTGACAAGTATCATTTTCATTTCATTTCATTTTCAATTTATTCGCGAAGATAAGCCATTAATAAAAGAACACTAGTATCGCTAATGTATGCTTTTTCTAGTAACTAGTTTAAGATATTTCAGAACATATAAGGTTTTAAATTTAATTATTAATTTTTATCCTATTTAACCCTTAAATGCATGATTTTTAATATTAAATGGAAAAAAATATATTTTATTCAGGCTAATGGGTATTTTAATGGAAAAATAATAAAAAAAATCTAAATACACATTTTAAGTATTTTTTATAGAAAAAAAGTAGTGTATCAAAAATGAGACAGTATGCATTAAAGGTAAAAAAATAAAAGTTATGAATTTTTTATATAAAAATGTATTATATATATTTATTATAAAATAAGGTAAGAATATTGTTTCAATTGTTATGAAAAAGGACGAAACAATTACATTTTTTTTTAAAACAAAGAATAACGTTACACTTTGAACACTTTATAGAGCTCAAAAGCTTACACTGAGGGTACTGACAACGCCTTCTTTTATCAGTCGTTATTGGTTCATGTCCAACTTTGTCAAGACGAACATCTTTGGGTGGCTTCGCTGGGATGATACAATTTTTTTTCTTTTTGGCTATTGCTTCTTCAATGCTTGAGCTAGGTCTTCCCCTCTTATTCTCTCTGTGTGTTCCATATTTACACAGAGCTTCAGCCAAGTCAGCGCGAAACTCCGCCAAGTTCATAAGGTTCTTTGGATGGATTCCCTTTTGTTTATTTACTTTTAGATAAAGAACCCAGGAATTTATAATGGTGATATCTAAAAGATGATAAAAGATACGCAAATGCCATTTTCTGCTTTTCATATGAATGCGGTATCGACCTAAAAACTGTCCATTAGGTCGACCCCACCCATATGCGAATTATATTCCTTTATCAGTCTTGGGCAAGGGATAGTCACCTTTTTCTTCTCTTTTTTATCGTATCTCTCGATTGTCTCAATGGGATCTGCTCCAACATATGTGGAGAGGAGTATCACTTGTTTATTATCTTTCCAGCTAACGGCGGTTACTGGTGTTCCTTCGTAACTGGAGACGTTTTCAACGTAATCACCTCTCGGTACATTACTCTTCATAACCTCAGCTTTTGAAGGTAATTTGCAGTTCTTACCTAGTCTGTTACGTTGAACGGTTCCAAGACAATAAATTCCGTGTTGAGCAAAATAATGCATAAGCGGTATGTTGGTGTAAAAATTATCGAAATAAATTATATGGTTGCGGTTTCAAGGCACACCTCGTGTTAGTCTGACAACTGTATCAGAAACTGCACCAAGTTCTGGCTCAGTCGAAAGACGATCATGAATCATTTTGCCAGAATAAATCTCAAATTGATAGGCAAATCCTTGCAAAGAACACATGACAAATAATTTGAAACCCCATTTATGGGGCTTGTTGGGCAAGTACTGTTTCATGAAATGAGCTAACTTAGTGGCGCACATCTGCTCGTCTATTGAGAGACGTTGGTCATAAGGTATGGATCCAAATTTATTATTTAGGTGGTCTATTATTGGTCTTAGTTTATGAAGCCTATCATGATTTGGATGGTCTTGTGGCATATGCTTTTCATTGTCGTTAAAATGCAGGATATTTCTAATCTTTTCAAATCTATTTAGTGCCATAGTCTCTGATATGGGGGTAAAAGCATGCTTAGTGTTCCAGTAGAAACGTACACTTGGGTACCGAAAGACGGACATATATACAAGAATACCAAAATACTGACGCAACTCTGTAACGGTAATCGTATCTGGACGAGCTGGATTTTTTTGTACGCTGTATTTATTGATCTCGTGTACTATTTCTTCCAAAAGTTCTTTTGTAAAAAAGTACGAAAAAAAATTAAAAGGAGTGTCTAGATTAACTACATCTGAAGAAAGAGGCGTGTCGCTCTGAAATCTCATTCTATTTTCATCGAATGGAAAGCTTTGCTTTTTCCATATCATTTGCCTGATTGGGATGCGTTGGTCTGCGGCAGAAGATGAGACATGAATATACTCATCATCACATATAAGTGGAGGATCTGATCTGCCTTCATCATTACCAGTCTCATCATCATTAGTAGGCGGAAAGTCATCTTCTAGTACCTGTAGTAACTCTTCTCTCGTGGGATAGAAATCCAAATCGTCTCCTTCAGACTCACAGTCATCCTCTGATATGTCACCTGCTTCCAATCTTCGAAGAATATGTTCTATTTGGTCATCTGAGCATGCTTTTGAAGCCATCACTGTAAAAAGCACATAAAACCATGCATAAACATTCAACCACCACCAAAATTGTCGCATACAATAGCACACCAATTATCATACCGTTATTGCATACTGTATCATTTTTGAAACATTACATTTTTTGAGAAAAAAACATATAATTCAGGTATATAACCAAAAAGCAGAAGCATAATAAAAAAATAGACAAACTTACCAATACAATTTATTTTTGCACGGATAAAAGTACTCTTTAATTTAATTTTAATCACAAACTGCAAATTCAGTAAATAGTAGTTGGCGCCAAAGAAGCTCCAAAATTTTTTAAAATGACATTTCGCGCCGCACGCTAATCTATGGCTGTTATTTTTTTAATTCACTCAAATTGATTATGGACTGAGGCATCAAATAACCATACAGCCAAGTCCGCACATAACAAATACCTTGTTCTACAAGGGCATAAATTTACCGTTTCATTTTTGAAACGCTATGCATTTAAGGGTTAAATACTAGTTTCTAACTTTTGCATTTTCGTCAAAATTAACCCGTTTTGAAGATTTAACTTAATATTCACTAGCTTTTGCCCGCGACTTCGTCCGCGTGATATAGTTACTTTGGACATCATATTTTCCAAAAACGCTGTTTTTTTGAGCTGATGATGAATTTACCTTGATGTTTAAGTTCGAAGATAGTACAACAAAATACCAACAAATGTCCAATATGTTTCAGCACTATCTTTGAAACTTTAGATATATTTATCCAATTCAATGCAATTTGAAATACAGATGAAAACAAACACAGTTCTGAAGTTTACAAAACACTTAATCGAAAACGTAATCTATGCAAAAATCTTTGAAAGAAACGATATTACTTTAGAATAAACGTCATTTAGAACACAGTGCCATCTATTGGATGTATTTGCAACCTAGATGTCAAACGATATTGAAAAATTTAATCTACGAATCAACTGCCATCTATGAAAACTTCATAAAACTAAACAGTAAATAAACACTTGCTTAAGAAACAATTACTACATTTTATTCGTTTACATTCACGACATAAGCGAATAATTAAGATGATAACTATCCTATCCAGTAAGTTAGACCAAAATACGGGTACATGTGAAAGAACAATGGCCATCTGCCTAACATGCTTGGACTAGTAAAATCGAATAAAACGTAACTTGATGAAACATATGTTAATTTGTTTGCCTATGCAGCTAGAACAAAGATAGAAATTAAATATATTTTTAAAAGCTGGGAGTATCGAGTAATTGTGTAATATGGTTTTCAGGTTATGTCGTATTATTTAAACTGTAACATTTTGAGTTAGAGGTATTACAGTTGAAATATGTAAAGCACACATTAGATAATGCCTAATCGTGGTCCTAGAAGTGCATCCTTTCACATATTACTTGCTCCATATCTGATATATTATTTTTATTGACTAAGAAATAAAATCACTTTTGTGAACCAATGGACCTTTTTAAATAATAATAGAATATTTAAGATTGCTCTCAATAACTCTACTTTTCTATCTTACATTATAACTTATATAAAAGTAGTAGTAAAAATACTAATTTCAAAAGGATATAGGAAAAGAACGTGTTGATTTTTCTTTTCTTTATTACAACTCTAATGAATACCTCATCACGGAATGCTGCAGGAGCAGCAACATTCTGTTCGTGTCTGGCCCATCCAAGATACCAAACTATGATCATTATATGAGGACAGCATCCCAGTGTACATCGACCAATAAGTAAATTACTGCAGTGTTCTCTTATGCCATCTAACCCGGATGTGTCATTATTTATTAAAATGTACACATAATATTGTTTCCTCCCAATATCTCGACTTAATTGTACCCCTTATAATTAGGACTTTATTTATATTTAAGTCTAATTCTAATAAATCCAGAGAATCCGGTATTTCTCTGCAGACCTCAATTCTATATTTTCCAGTATAATATTGTAATCTTTGCTGCCCATGGAACCTAGTATGCTCCCCATAATACAGAAGATAATACATAATCGCCGCCAAAGTTACAAAACGGTCTGCGTAGAAACACGTCTACACCTTAGAGTAAGTACTTATAGAGGGCTATTAGGCGTGCCACCGTAAGGGACAACAAATAAATCATCAGTGTTACTAGGTAGTTAAATGTTCCTCGATTATGGGGAGATATTTTGTTTTTAGCAAAGGAGGACTAAT